TATCCCCGAAAATCAAAACTGATATTCGCAGCCTGTGACACATGTTTAATAGGTAATTTGGGGCGTAGAACACGATGTTGACGTTCATTTTATCATATGTGTACGTGTTTGGCTAATAAAGTTCAATTTAAGAAATTCATGTATCATGGTCGTAAAGTAGTCACGAAAAATTGCCAAGATTCAGTTCAAGATTATGGAAAATGCGGAACGATAATCAATAATCGATGATAGCCATTTGATTGATCATGGTATTGGCAGTCTAATGGCGTTTACGGCATGTCTGTATGTCTATTCTGTGATTTTATATGATTTTTTGAACATATGCCGTTTTTGGTCGAAAACTCAGAAATCATGACGTCACTAAAACCTCGATATCTCAAAACTTTTCTGACCGATTTCTTTGAAACTTTGTCACAATAAACTCCAATCATTTCCCTACGCGTACCCAGAATTTGGCGCGCCTGCGGCGCGCCGTTTTTATGCTATGGCCCGGCGAAAAAAGTGGGGGCGTTTAACGCCCCCCCCCAGCAACTCGCGGGTTAAGGCCTAAAAAGGTGTCTATCTGATGCAGTTTTCACGGTGAATCGAATGGTGCTATTTTTGTCTCCGTATGAGGTCCAGAACTTCCAAAAAACATTTTTCAAAAAAATTGTGTGTCGTGACGTCATAAAAAAATTAAGTAACTCCCACATTTTTTTACCTATTCTTCTAAAAATGGTATGTAGGTGCACATAGACCACTTCTCTGACACATATTCCGTTTTTTCGATACACTCAAAATTTTGGATTTCATGATTATTTTCCCAAAAAAGTCAGTTTTTTTATTTGGGCCAAAATCCAAAATTTTCCAAAAGATAGCCATTTGATAGACAAAGTAAAATCATGTATAACCTTTTTGTTACGTCTTGATTTCTTTAAAAATACCTATAGATGTTAGCGGCGTTTGAAATTGTACCGTTTTTGAGGCGAAAACGGCGAACATGACGTCACTAAAACGTCATTTTCTCAACAATTTTTCGACGAATTTCTCGCTCAAATTTTCAGGAAACGTCTTAAATTTATGTATATTAAGGTACTGAAAGTTTGACGTTGCTGGCGTAACGCGTTTAGAAGTTATTGGCGAAAAACGGGAGGGGGGGGGGGCAGATTCTGGCCCCCCCCCCCAGCGGGGCGCGGGTTTCAATTTCACCTTTGACCTCTGGCACCGGGACCACGTATGAGTGATGCTCTGCGGTGCGGTGTGTCACAATACAGTTTTAGTGAGAGGTGGTGCTGGGTTTCACCCAGGGTGTGACCTGAGCGGCACCTTTCTTCCCAGCAGACCACCAGCCTTCTGCCGCATTTTATCGGGCAATATCAATCGTTCAGCCTCAGATAGCCGGTAATTGTTTTCACATCCAATAGAATCCTCCCTCGTTTTACGAGTGCGGCGGTCATTCGGACATGAATTTAGCGTCACCGCTCTGCGAGGGGCCGACTCGGCGCCCGGTTTCTGAGGTGATACCTGTCCGCCCGGCCGGCCAGGGGCGGGTCACGGCTTGTCGGACCCCCGCCGCGGCGCCCGGACGGCGGAGGGGTGCGGCCAGCCCGGCACGGGCCGCGGCCACCACATACCTACCTCTGCCGGGAGATTGCGTGCCTCTGCGTGGACATGTGTCTCACAGTGTGGTCAATCATGCTTGCAGCTACCAGCCGCGCCGGAAGCTCTGGACACGACACGGCTGTCGGGCTGCATCCCCGTCCCGTCTGTCCTCTACCGCGTCACCGGTCCTCACTCATCCCCGGGCCTCGGCAGGACACCGATCCGTCCACCCCCACCTCTCCGAGCCTCGGCAGGGCTCCGATCCGTCCACCCCCCCCCCCCCCCCCCACCTCTCCGGGCCGCGGCAGGACACCGATCCGTCCATCCCCCACCTCTCCGGGCCTCGGCAGGACACCGATCCGTTCATCCCCCACCTCTCCGGGCCTCGGCACAGGGCTCCGGCCGGGCCCGGTGGTCGCCGCCGTGTTATGACAGTTATTAGCGTCGGCCGATAGGAACTCGCGCCGCAAATCAGGATATCGCCCGAGCAATTATCGCCCGGCCGGACGCGGCGCGCGGTGGGTCCCGAATTTATCGCCGCGTAAAGCCGGCGCGCGCCGCGGGGAGGTGACGCTTCACACCGGGCACGTGAAAACGGCCTGTCGCTGCAGCATTGTTGCAGTCATTGTGGCTGGGAGAGCGTCGGGCAGCGGTCCTCAGCGGCGGTCAGAGCGAGCTGAGAGGAGAGAGGGCGACGTCTGAGCCGGAAGAGCAGGGAATGTGACGACAATAAAACAGCTGCTTCGGGGTCAATGATGCTGTTTGTTTCTGCTAAGAACAATGCATGAAATACTAAGCTTTGCTCGTTTATTTCAATATGTATGTAGTTCATTATTTTTGTCGTTGTAGGCGAGCAATATTTATTTTTTGTTTATTTATTTTTTATATATTCATTTATTTTTGTCCCTTGATAATAACCAGAAATGTTTGGATTACAACGTGCACTACATAGTGCCGCAGACACAAATGCAGTGGACATTTCATTTTCAAGAGCCTTCAACGCCAGACAGAATGATAACACCATCGGACGTTTGAATCCGGTTAGAAATATGAGCCGGTTATTACAGCGATTTAATTGTGCCGGACAATGTAACAATGCGCCTGCTTTTTCCGATCGCAAGGTGATATCCAATCCCGTCGTGGCTTATCATCGTGTTTAGAAAACGTTTAAGGTAGTGTGCCACGTTCCAATGATTTTCCATTTTATTTTTCCTGGGATTAGAAGCTTCTATTTTTACCTTATATCGCAAAAAAATCAAAAATGGGCCTGGAATAGTGCTTTTTTGCCTAAAAGTTTATTGGTTTTTCGATATGTATAACAGCTGTAGTGGGCTGACCTGCAAACAGGCGTCGGCAACAATCACGAATGCGGCGCACATGTGACAATAAGCAAAGGTCATTATAGAGTTACGACGTACGGGAATGAGTTATCAGCTGTCTAATCGTAGACAACACAATGTCGAACTTAAACTGGAAGCCTGTATTGGTATTGTTTCTTTAATTTGGCTGTCAAACATTAATTTATGGTTTGAAATATTATTTTATGTAAAATAATTGATATGAAACAGCCGTCTCTAAAGTTATGACCCCATTTCACCACACGCAAGTGGCAGAAATGACAATGATCAGCTGACGCATTTTTCTTGGCCGGAGTCAGAGCGCGCGGCCCGACGCACCACCACCGCACCACAAAGTATGAGCAGAAGCCGCGCCCAAAGCCAGGGCCCCGGTAACGTGAGGTAGCCGAGTCGGGGCAGCGTGCGCTGACCCAAGCCGGGGCCGAAGCTTTGGGCGCGGTCTACCGCATCCCCGCGGGCAGCCCCGGGCTATCACATGACACCGGGAGGACGCGCGGCCCCGGCTTGGGTCAGCGCACGCTGCCCCGACTCGGCTACCTCACGTTACCGGGGCCCTGGCTTTGGGCGCGGTCTACCGCACCACCTAACAGGCTTGTTCGAAACTGCAGGAGATGATGATGAACGGGTTTATCGAAACTTGATTGGATGAGCCTATCGGTAAAAGCGATTTTAGTGTGTGCATTTATTGTTCATAGTGGTGTGAAACGTGGTTGAGGTACGACCGACAACCCGTCGGGGCGAATTTTGCTCTGGGGTACTCAAAATTTGAAGAATTTAAGACGTTTCCATGAGTTTTGAAGGTATGGAAAAGTTCTAAAAATCCGGTTCTCCTTATCCGGGTCATTAACTCCATATGGTCCAGGAAAGCTGGCACTCTACCTTTAAGGTGTGGGAAGTGGATCACTTGGATTTTAACCGACTGCTGCCGCCTTATCGATAATCAAATCCAAATTGCCTCAGTTGTTTTTTTTTCTTTTGGTGTTACAAACCCTTGCATTCAACGGGATTGTCAATGTTATGGCTTCGCGCGCTTCCTGGTTTGCCTTACGCAACGACTTGTCACATTTCTAATGTTATGAATCGGGCAGTTTTATTTTCATTGCTACATTGTTTCCGAAATCCGAAATACTAAGGCGCCCGACTGGGACGCTGTTCGAGCGACACGTTCTGTCATCGCCTGTTGACTTCATCCCACCCGGAACAGACTAGTCTCGGCCTGTTAGCCCCATGCCCCGCTCTGTGACCGGGCCGCGTGGCGACCGGCGCCGGTCGGCACCCTGCCGGCTGTCGCGGCGCCGTTCCTCCACCGATTCCGCTCGCTGCTCGCACTCCATCAGGCCGGCACAAAGAGACGAAATTCTCGAGAGACTGAGTCTCGACCTCGTCACCTCTCGCACAGCTTCATTATTACGTCATCGTTTTTGCCGAGTGTCGCTCATCGCTCAGCCGGATGACGGCCGTCTCAGCGGCTCGACTTGGGGTCAGCGCACTCGGCGTGTCCAAAGTCGCAGCCGGCGGTGGCGCTGCGAATCGGTCGGCGAGGATGAAAGAGCGTCATGCGGCGGGGTGCGGTGTGGCCGGGTTCGGAGGAATGTGGCCGGTTCGGCACACTCGACCGGCGAACGGCGCTCACTCACAACCGGGAGGCGGCCCTTTACGACACGGCGACATCCATTACTGCGTGACGGCCGGCGGGAGACGGCGGTGTCTCCGCCGCCACCTGGAGACGCCGGCGGAGACAATGCTGGAACTGACTGCCAGCGAACGGCAGAGGCAGTACTGGAATAGACAATCCCATAAGACTCCCTTCTGGTCAGGCAGTCGCGCCCAGAAGAACAGTAGGGACCGAGACTTAGTCGGGAGCCGAATGATGTAGATAATCGAAGGGTTGGAGAGGATGGATACGCCTATTACATGACATCCCGTGTCACTTACGGTCTCCAGCCCTGAGCCCACATGATACATGTGCTCTCGAATTTCCTCGGGCAACTTTAGAACCTCTCTGATCTCTCCCTTCTGACTAGTCTCTTCTGACCCTTTCATCCCCCTTTCTTCCCCCAGTCGGAGCCGGCAGTGTGCGCCGCCTGCCGGGACCCCATCAGCGACCGGTACCTGCTGCAGGTCAGCGAGGCCAGCTGGCATGTGGCCTGCCTCCGCTGCTCCGTCTGCGGCGCCTCGCTCGAACAGCACCAGTCCTGCTTCATCAAGGGCGACGACGTCTTCTGCAGGGAGGACTACATCAAGTGAGTTGGCTGGAATGGCAGAGTGGAAGGCAGGAAATGTGCACTTCTATAAAAGGAAGCTTTCACAGGCAAACTAAGAGGATGAGCTCGATCGGTCAGTGTACTGTATTTTATCCAATATCCAATAGCATAATCACTTGTCCCATGACTTTTCAGCTACAACGTACCAGTTCAGAGTTATAGGTATTCATGTAGCGACGCCGGCGACTGAACGTCTTATCCAGTTCGGTGACGACTGACGCTCCCTTCCCCGTCCCCTCGCCGTCCGGCAGGTCGTTCAGCGTGTCGTGCGCCAAGTGCACGCGCTGTATCACCGCCTCGGACTGGGTGCGCCGCGCCAGGAACAACGTCTACCACCTGGCCTGCTTCGCGTGCGACGCCTGCAAGAGGCAGCTGAGCACCGGGGAGGAGTTTGGTCTACATGATAACCGTGTGCTCTGCAAGGCGCACTACCAGGAGATCCTGGACGGCGGCGGCACCAGCAACGACGGTAGGCTATATCTTGACGCTAGAACGGCCGTCCGTTTCCGCTCGGGAGTGACCATTGGAATCCCGAAAACATGACAACGCGCATCTCATCATTGCGTTAGCGCGTCGGCCCGTTAAACACGCGGCGTCGCGCGACACCCGAGGACCCCTGCCGACCGGCACTCGGCTGCCCTCTCGGCACGAGCCACTCAGCGCCCTCCGACGCCAGAAGCGCCGCGCACACCCGCCTCCGCGCGCATTCCGGCGCGCCGCGCACCGGTGGGCAATTGCGGCGCACTGCGGCATGTAATTGCGAACGGCGGCGCGAGTGGCGCACGTCGCCGCTAATGTAGCATGTTTTGGTGGCGGCACGTGCCGCTAAAAAGCGGCTGATGAGGCGGACGGACCGGCCCAGAATCGCCGCCCCTTTGAGGGGCACACGAGTGGAAGGGAGCGCCAGCGCGCGCACCGATTCGGCGACAAGGACCCTCTTGGGACGGCGCGTCTCAATCAAAGGATCATGGGTGGCGCCGAGGCCGGTCGCTTTGTGCGGTACGAGAGCGCTCCACGGACAAAGACATGATAGCGGTCGCGCCGAAAGGGGTAAACAGGGCCGTTCAATGGGGTTCGATTGTTTTGATTGAGGTGGGGGTTTTACGGTACCCATGTCGGTAAATAAGACTGGTCGGAGATTACAGCAGATGGTCGTGGCGCGGGTCGCGAGTCGGCGACTAAGCCGCTGATGGGTTGGTAACTGTTTCAGGATTATACCCAATTCATGGTGTATTATTTGCCGTGCTGCCCCATCATCCTTTTCAAGAATAACAGAGTGACGGACAGGCAGTTTGTCAGCTCCTGTCGGATCAGCTCGGGACGTCTGAGTCTAATTATGGGCGTATTTTATCGGCGGTGTATATGCAGCTGTAGACTGCCGTCGGTTTCATAGGTGTAAGCTGCTAATCGTGGGTAATGAACAGGCAGCTCCCTCTCACAGGATGTCAAATTCTCAAACAAACTACGTCATTTGCGGTAAAACATTATTCAAACACTACCCACAACTTGCATTTGACGCTGTTGAATGTCTGTAGAGCATCGTTTGTCTCCAACGCCGCGTCCCTTCCGCCGCAGAGAGCGAGGACGGCAAGACGGGCGCGCGGCACAAGTCGAAGCGCGTGCGCACCACGTTCACCGACGAGCAGCTACAGATACTGCAGGCCAACTTTGAGCTGGACTCGAACCCGGACGGCCACGACCTGGAGCGGATCGCCCAGGTTACCGGTCTCACCAAGCGGGTCATCCAGGTGTGGTTCCAGAACTCGCGCGCCAGGCAGAAACGCTACCAGAACGGCATGAAGGTCAAAGGTAAGGTCATCTTGACACTTCATGGGCTCACCCATAGCTCTGGCGCGTAATATCGGCACAAAACTTAAGTCGATTTGTTATGTGATTAGAAGTTAATTCAGCAAAATCTAGTTTGTAACTATAAATGTGCATTTAAAGACGATTTATAAATCTTTATGAGATAGGTACCATCAGTGAGCAGCATGACTAGCAATTATGCCTAATGGTGACATCTTTCCATGAATGCCATTTAAAAAGGCATTGAATCTGAATCCCGTTTATTGTTCTAACCCGCTCGCGCTGGTCCACCGGCTCGCTGTAACATTCACTCCGTTCTGACCGTCGCTGGTGCCGCGGTCGGCAGGTAACTTTGTCAGTCACCAGGGCCTGCCGCCGAGCAGCCAGGGCCTGACGCCGCCCAAGCTGGACTACCATTTGTCGTTCGCCATGGCTCCCACCGCCGACGTCGGTAAGCAGCGCAGAACGCCGAGCCGGAGGATATGAAATTTAGGGTATTTGAGACTGCTAGGCGCAATACTTTAGAGAAGTCAACGTCGCTAGACGCCAGGTACTAGCCTCTGGGCTTAACCCTCGCCCATGTAGGGGGGGTTGGTGCACCCCCCCTGAGGTTTTTCGGAAATAGTGCAAAAACGGCGGCGCGCAGCGCCGCCAAATTTTGGGTACCTTATGGGGCAAACCTTGCGCATTTTTTGATAAAAAAAATTTGACCGGGTCATGTCAGGTCACGGAGTTATGACGTCACAAAGGGAACAGCCTCCAGCCGGATTTTCACAAACTGAGTGCCAACGCCCGAGGTTTCCTGCCGGTGGTACGGACATCGGTTGATGGATCGTGATGAAACTTCCCATGCATGTTGGGGCAAGTATTGGCTATCATATGGTATAAGAAACTTGACCGGGTCAGGTCAGGTCACGGAGCTATGACGTCACAAGAGGAACAGCGTCCGGTACTATTTTTGAAAAGCGCCCGAACCACTATTTTGCTAATTCTTGTCACCTCAATGGGAATATGCAGCAATATTAGCTTCTATAGGGAGCAAATGGACATCCCAAATCCAAAAATACAATCAGATTTCAAAAATTTAAATTTTGATTTTTCGAATTTCTGCCGCCGACTGTGACCTTGCCGACTTCCGGCGCTCCCAACGCGCCATTTTTAGAGCTAGGGAAACGAAATACATACCAAACGATAGAGAATTGATCAAGGAACACGATAGTGAAGGTTTCAAGTCGATATCTCCCACCGTTTTGCCGCAATCGCCGCGGAAAATTTGAAAAAGTCTATTTTTCCGAAAATTTGACCTTTGACCGGTCAAAAGTAGGTCAAATGTTGACCTAGGACCAAAAAATATACCACCAATCGCGAGATCTCGGCGAGAGCAATCCGTTGGTCTTTTCCGCTAAGCTCTACGACACTCCGTTTTCAAACGCCAAGGGGGGGTCGCACCAACCCCCCCCCCCCCTGCATGGGCGAAGGTGGCAGATCGCCGTTTACGGGCGAGGGTTAATCATTATGAAGTGAAGGAAATACGTTTTTGCTGCAATAAATTACGTTGACGCAACAACTTTTCCTGTATTTGTCATGATGTGCTGAAACAACCCAAGTAAAGCTGTAAATTTGTGACTGATCCTATCCGTGTTCGTTTCAGAAGGCTCCGGCCGAGGGATGCTGGAACCACTCCTTCATCTCGATCCTGAGGAAAAGATCTGAGTCTCGGCGACTGTCGTCATTCAGCTGGGGCGGAGAACCCGTACATAAGCTTTACACCGCGGATGCTGGGCTCGCTCGTGGCGCCAGTACCCTTCAGAGGTCGGCGGGACGGCGCATCGCACGGTCAGACACCCTGGAGGAGTACCTCGCTCCGTAACAGACTCCGGGCTCAGCAATCAGCAGCGTTGCCACCAGACGGGGAGCGAGGTCGCCGGTCAGGTACGACCGACCCGGACTACAGCGCGGCGCTGGAGGTCCGAGACCAGTACCTTTCAGTTTCCAGTGGTGACTGCAACATTGGCTGGTGTAGGGCGGCCTGAACTGAAGTGAAATAACTGATGGAAAGTGAACGATGCTGAGACACACTCACCTGTAACCCTTACTCGAACAGGCAGCAGCACATCATAGACGAGCTGCACTGACGAACAAACCACTGCGAAACGGACGTTCGCAATCACCTTACAGATACATTCCATATGGAAGTGATAATAACTATATAATGTGGAGTATTGACAATGTTTGTATCAAGTAGTCTATGCTGTAAATATTTTTCTCTCTCGACAATTTATGTTTTATTTATTTATACGACTGTTATGGTTGCAGCGTTTCCTTGCCAAAATCATCGATAGTCGTATGTACTGTGATCGGCGTTGTTTAGTTTTGTTCTGCATGTCAGCCCGCTTTCATATGCCGAAGGTAACTCCGCTCACAAATGAGTCTGTTTTCAATAACAACGCTTTTAACAGCTCTCGCGGGCTAGCAATATTGCGGCGTTGTGTCCGGTTTCGGTGTTCGCTAGTGCACGTGCGCACGTGCACGGGTGAGCGCCGGGTGACAGGGGGTGAGGCGCGGTCCGCTCACTCAGCCGTGTGGCCGCCCTGCCCGGTGTAGTCTCACGCGTTATTGGCGTGGGCCTTACGGCGTTCCTATTGTTGTTCTGGTGGGGTTGTAGAGTGGCTCATTGACGGAGAAAGGAATATATGTGCTTGTATGTTTTGTTCCAGTATTTTTATGCAGAGGTGGGTTGGTAGAAATACCTGGGAAGAACCTGATGCCCTCGAAGTCAAGCATCGTAAGCCGAGCCCGCCAGCCCACAGGGGTTGGACGGGCGGGGAGAGATGGTATAGCCCCGAGCACATAACCTCTTTCTGCTCTCAGTAATTAATTTATTGTGATTCATAAGCTTATGTCACAATGTGCTCACATTTTAATGTATTATGAAAAAACACTCACTATCCATTAACGAGGTCAATTGCTAACAACTTACAAAAGCCTAATATATTTGAGGCTGTCCAACCTACCGTCACCACCCACCAATACCTAATGACATTGAAGCATGCATAGGTACCTACTTGCCTCTGAAAGCCAGCAAACCAAACATTTGCGGAGGTGGCATAAAAACGCCCCCTTCAGTCTACTGAGCCATGCAGGAAATGGTACGATACCTAATCCAAAGGCAAGAACGAAGCAGAGCATGTGATTCAATGGAAATAATAGCCGCTTTCACGACGGCTATCTGGTACACATTTGGTGGACATTAGGTGCGGATTTGGTCAAATTAGGTGCAGATTTGGTCAAGTTAGGCTCGGTGTGTAACTTAAAAGTTAAATCAGTTTGAGTAGCACAGATGCTTAGGTATATGGTATACCTCATTTTTGAAATAATAAGGCATTATTTTCGATTAAAACACTGAAATGAATTCATGATATGAAGATATTTGCTGTAAAAGGGATTTGGTGCAGATTTGGTCAAATTAGGTGCATTCGCTAAATAGCCCGTCGTAAAAAGGCTGATGTTGATCGATATCGACATGTCAGTAATAAACAAGTGGATTGATAGGCAGCTAAATTATAAAACTGCAAAAACATTGCGGCCTTGTAATCGAGACGCCCTTGACCGAGCAGACTCCGGCCAGCTGGGAAATCTGTGCTCCTCAGGGCCGGGCGGTATTACCCCGTGAGATACCGTGAGGACGATAAGGCGGCCAGAAACATGTCACCATCGTTCGTGTCAGATCAAGTCCGTGATTCCACTTGTCTGAATGACTGTCAAGTTTTAACCATTTATGAAGTTCTCCATCTCAAATAAGGTTTATTCTTTTCGATTTCCTGGAAATCTAAGAAAGAACTCTTGAACGAGAAATGTATTAAATGACTCACAAATAATAAAACAAGGGAGCAACATATCAATGAAAGAGATCTCGTCATGTGTCCTATTGCCACCATGTCAGCAGTCAAAACATTCCCTTGGTTATCAATGATCTAAAGGTCATTAGGTATTCAATCCTGCCCGACTGAGAGGGTCTGGTGACACCCTCTGACACTTCGAAAGGTTCGGGAAGTCACCAACGAACTCAGAATTAACCATGCATAGGTACCTATCAAATAATTTGCAGTGACCTTCCTCGACTAGCTAACTGATGTGAGGCGGCTTTGACCTGAATAACTTTTAACCCGCGCCCCAGTGGTGGTCTCAGCCAACTTCGCCCTAGTGGGGGGGGGGGGGGCATATGTTACCACCCACCTCTAACTCAAAAACTAAGAGGGCTAGAAAGACGCAGTAAAAAGCAGTCGATAGCTCTTGATGCGTACGTTTGAAAGTATTCGGTCATTTTTCATCTTAGAGCAATATTAGGGTCACCAAAGGTCACCAAAGGTCAAAATTTGCGAATTGTCATTATATTTTTCAGAAAATATGCCATTATCTCAGGAACTATGATAGCTAGAAAAACACTGGGAAAAGCAATCGATAGCTTTTGAACTCTTCTTTTGATAAGGTCATCATAAAAAATGACCTCAGGTCAACGGTTTAGCCTCCAGAGGGTAAAAACTCCAAAAATAGCTGTTTTTAAGAAAAGCGTTTTTCGACAATGACTTTGACTAAAGTTATTTCGACAATAACTTTGATAACTTTTGACTAAAAAAAGGCTAGGTCATTTGTAATGCCAGAATCGTGTTCCTCTCACCGAGACGCGTCGAATGACCTATAATTTGACCTTGAAAGGTCAACTTCAAAATTTGACCTCAGGTCAAGGTCATGACCTGACCGGAAAAGGTCATGTTGCATATCAGTCGATGCGTCTCGGCAAGACAAACACAATGAGGCCAACCCCAGCGTTCTATCTTTTTCCAATCGAGAGTTATTGACAAAAAACTGTTTGTAGCCTCAAATGACCTCGGATGACCTTTCAAGAGGCTATCAGCAAAAAAGACACCTTGGTCGTCACGGGTGGTGCAAATCATTGTCATCCTGAAATATTTGGACTGTTCCTATGCGTACACACGGATCTAGAGGCATTTTCATTTTTCTCCATTGACTTATAATGGAAAGGTCACGCCACTGACCTGACCTTAGGTCACGCATATAGAAAATCCGAGATATACGAATTGTAGGCACCCATAACATCATGTAATCCACCAAGTTTAAAACCTCTCTGACAAACACTGCAGACTGGACATGATTGCAAACTTTTTTAGGCTTGGTCAGTTAACTTGACCTGGTGACCTGACCTGAGATGACCTGGGGTCAAAAATTTCACACATTGTCCAAAATTGATGTACCAAAAGCTACCCCAAGCGGCGCGGCGCTATGCGCCGCAGTTTTTTATTTATACGGAAAAAAACGCGACAGGGTGGTAACATATGCCCCCCCCCCCCCACTGGGGCGAAGGTTAATGACTTTACCTTGAGGTAAAAAACCGAGTGCCGAATAAAAAGGTGTGATTTGACTAGGCTAGTCAAGAACCTATAGCTGCGCCAAAATCGCACCTCTGCAGCATTTTTCCATTTTGTCCTTTCCTTAAAAATGTACTCTACCCTTATGTCTTTAACAAGATCTCAAGGGCCACCGGTTTACCTGAGACCTCAAAGTAAGATATGCACCAATTAATGCATCTCGTAACGTTGCATCTGTCGGTTTTCCCAAACCGTCCTAACTCGATTAGGGGCGAATCAGCGGCGTCCTGAAATCTGAGGTCGTACTCACACCTACATAAGAAAGAAAACTGAAAGGTCCAGCGAGAGATGGCGGGATAGAAAGGTGAACACTCAGAACAGTGTTCCCCGGTGGGCGGCCCTTCCCACCTCCCCTGTTCCTAAATGCGTCGGCGAAAAAAAAAAATCAACCACAAATAGTCCAAAATTTGAGATTTTTTTGGTGCAACGGCAATTTCAGCTCCCACCTATTGACCTTATAGTCGATCGCATTTGAGCCTTGCAAGTTTCAAATAGCATCCCTTTCATTTCCACCACCTCCCGGTCGCTAGGAGCACAGCACCGGCGGCGCCTCACTGGCTCTCTCCCATCTCCAGCCGGTGCGCCACGCTCGTCCGCAGTGCGCCGGGCTGGCCGCGGCGGCTCCGCGCTGCGTCACCGGGCAGTGATGGATCGGCCGACCCTTTGTCACCGGGGAACAGTGCTAACGACGGTTTGATGGAGCGGCCGCAACGACAGCACGGCCACAGTGGTGATGACAGTGAAGGCAGTGGTGACACTGGTGCCAGTGAAGGCAGTAGTGACACTGGTGCCAGTGGTGGCAGTGGTGACAGTGGTAGCAGTGGTGACAGTGGTGACAGTGGTGACACTGGTGACAGTGGCGGCACTGGTGCCAGTGGTGCCAGTGGTGGCAGTGGTAACAGTGGTGACAGTGGTAGCAGTGGTGACACTGGTGACAGTGGTGCCAGTGGTGACAGTGGTGACAGTGGTGGCAGTGGTGGCACTGGCAGTGGTAACAGGGATGACAGGGATCTTGACAGTGGTGACAGAGTGGTAATAGTTTTCGGCATCTTGTCAGGGATGGGGAGTGCGTTATTAGGTATTCACCGCACTGTAACACTGGGTAAATGTTTTCAGTGGTGAAATCACTTTGTTTTGTAACCCAAGCTAAATTTTGCAACAAATTACAATGGTGCCTTTCGGCCACCCTCGCGGCAGGAATCATTCCAACTGAGCCCTATAGAGCCTTTTCATGAAATCGCATACGTCGAATCGACTGGTGGTGTTTTCGTCTCGATCGGTCCAGTAGTTCCTGAGTTATAGAATGGCTGCCGTAGGCAACATCGGTCATGTGAACTCCCAAAGTCACCGAGGTCACCTGATGTCACCATCTTTGAAACGGCTGATAAAATCGCACCCCCTGATTCTAATGGTGTCTCGTTCGTCCCGATCGGTCCCGTGGTTCCTGAGCTATAGAATGGCTGCGGGGGTGGCGGTCAAATAGTGTTGTCCCTTCAGGGTGGGGTGATGGGGACTTCCCCGCACTCCGCAGCCACGAGTCTGTGCACGTCTCTGGCGCCGCCATGTGACGCCCAGTGACCGCAGCTCATCTTTGTGCCAGCCGCGGGTGCTCGATAGCCGACAGCTTCCCTGCGTCCCCCAATCGCCCCACGATAGAGCTCAGCTCGTCACGCATTAGTCACCCACGGTGTTTAAAAGTGCAGCGGCTGTGCGCACACAGTGTCAGGAGCGGTTGGACGGCCCTCGGCGTGTCAGCAGCAGTTGAACGGCCTTCCTCTGCCCGATTCAGGTGAGAAAGAACGCTGGTAAACCATTTTTGGCTTGGTGATTACTGATTATGAATGGAACATTGACCATTAAATTTGATTTCTAGTCACCCAGTCAATTAGTGTTTCGCCCTTAGATTTTGTTTTGCCCCTGAGCCTCGGCGTACCGTGACGGTTGTCGGTTATGTCGGTAGATGGGTTGGCTTACGTGGCTAGAGAGACGAGCCAGCGGGAAAAAATCCCAGCTCCTTGGTAACGATCATTCCACCGCTATAATGGCATGGTTATACAAATATGCCTCGCTCTGCTTAATACATTCTTAACCCTTGTCGGCACAGGGGGTGATGCACCCTCTTAGGTTTTTCGCAAATAACTCAAGTAAAAAGGGGCTGATCTCGACGAAACTTTCAGTAGCTTCGCATTGATCAATTTTACACCTACCCTGAAAATATCATGACCCTGATCCAAATGACCTTTAACCTTCGCCCCAGTGAGGGGGGCATATGTTACCACCCTGTCGCGTTTTTTTGCGTGTGAATAAAAAACCGCGGCGCGTAGCGCCGCGCCGCTTGGGGTAGCTTTTGGTACATCAATTTTGGACAATGTGTGAAATTTTTGACCCCAGGTCATGTCAGGTCAGGTCACCAGGTCAAGTTAACTGACCAAGCCTAAAAAAGTTTGCAATCATGTCCAGCCTGCAGTGTTTGTCAGAAAGGTTTTAAACTTGGTGGATTGCATGCTGTTATGGGCGCCTACAATTTGTATATCTCGGATTTTTTATATCCGTGACCTAAGCTCAGGTCAGTGGCGTAGCCTTTCCTTTACAAGTCAATGGAGAAAAATGAAAATACCTCTAGATCCGTGTGTACGCATAGGAACAGTCCAAATATTTCAGAATCACAATGATTTAGTCCACTCGTGATGACCAAGGTGTCATTTTTGCTGATAGCCTCTAGAAAGGTCATCCGAGGTCATTTGAGGCTACAAACAGTTTTTTGCCAATAACTCGCGATTGGAAAGAGATAGAACGCTGGGGATGGTCTCATTGTGTCTGTCTTGTTGAGACGCATCGACTGATATGCAACATCACCTTTTCCGGTCAGGTCATGACCTTGACCTGTGGTCAAATTTTCAAGTTGACCTTTCAAGGTCAAATTATAGTTCATTCGACGCGTCTCGGCGGGGGGAACACGATTCTGGTAATAGAAATGTCGTGGCTTTTTGTAGTCGAAAGTTATTGTCGAAAAACACTTTTCGTAAAAACAGCTATTTTTGGAGTTTTTGCCCTCTGGAGGCTAAACCGTTGACCTGAGGTCAATATTGATAATGACCTTTTCAAAAGAAGAGTTCAAAATCTATCGATTGCTTTTCCATGCCTTTTTCTAGCTACCATGTTTCCTGAGATAGCGGCATGTTTTCTGAAAAATATAATGACAATTGGCAAATTTTGACCTTTGATGACCTCTGGTGACCCCAATATTGCTCTAAGGTGAAAAATGACAAAAAATGCTTTCAAACGTACGCATTGAGAGCTACCGACTGCTTTTTACCGCGTCTTTCTAGCCCTCTTAGTTTTTGAGTTAGAGGTGGGTGGTAACATATGCCCCCCCCCCCCCCCCCCCCCCCACTAGGGCGAAGTTGGCTGAGACCGCCACTGGGGCGCGGGTTAACCTGTAATACTTTTCGAGACCGTGTTTGGCCAGAATCGCGATTCGGCGTATGTCGGCTCGCATTAGCGCGCGTTTGCAGTCTTTTCGCGGTTTCAAGCGTTCAAACATGTGATTTAATGCTGCTCCCATGCATTAGAGTGGATGTCAAGGTCACCTGAAGGTCAGGTCAGGTCAATGACCTTTGATGACCTCGGTTCACTCTTTCGAGTTTCACATGTTTCTATGTTGGTTTTTGGAGCTGAATTCGAATTTGGCAACCATATGAACATTTACGAAGTAGTTTTGGTGGCTTCGTAACATTTTACGAAGCTGTCGGAGGCGGTTGACACGTACTATGAATACCCGGCAGGACCCCTACTGGCTAACCTGACTTAACCTGACCAAACCTGGCTTAAATGCATAAAGATATCATCTGTGATCAAAACTAGCATGCTATTCGTGATCAGTACCCCGAAAAATTCCTTAGCAGCCACACTTTACGATGTTCTAACAGGTCCCGATTTTCCCAACTTTTGGGTCATTGACCTGACCTGGAAGGTCAACCGATGACCTAAGACCTTAACATTGGGTAGCATCGGTTTCCTCTAGTCACGCGCAACACGCTCGTTTTTTTCCGCGAAGCTCTAGCTCGATCAGGTGTCAAACGCGAGGGGGGGGGGTCGTACCAACCCCCTTGTGCCGTCGAAGGACGCAAAATGGCCTGTGCCGGCGAGGGATAATTCATATCCAAACTCATTTTAGAAACAAAAATGTACTTTTTTAGGATCGACTTGTCATTGTAAATTGGACATAGTTGACATTGTTTGGCCTCCCTTTGACGTAAAATGTCTAAAATCGAGGTCATCGACACAACATCTTGTGTATCTCGATGATTTTTTTCGAATGCCGTTTAAATTTCTCTGATCCGGCTATTGGTTCCAGAGATACCTGCGATACTTACCTTTGCCCCCCCCCCCAACAGGACGTGGAACTTGCCAGACGTCAACGGGGCGCGGGTTTTAACCTGCACCCCACTGGGGTCTGCGTATAACGCGCACTTCTGGGGGGGGGCTCTTCATAGCCCCCCTCCTAACTCCGAAACTACTGGGCCGATGGTCGAAATTCAAACGGCGTCTGATAGCCCCGGAAAAAAACTGTCGAGCGAAACCTAATATCATTGACCTCGAGGTCACCGATGACGTCACAGGTCAGGTCAAAGTAAAAATTATTAGCATTTTGGCTTGTTCACATTTTGGGCTCTGGCCGCCGTCTTACAAGTCAGATCAGGCTCATTTTTGGTTTACACACTCGTGAACAGATGCTTTAGATACCCTGACGGTAACAAACTTGTACTTTGATTTCCTGATCAGAGTCGTCAGGTCATCACAGGTCACGGAAATATTATATCATGCGTCGGTCACGTGACACATGTTTTATGGTCCATTTAGGCCATATATTTCGAATTTGATGTCGTTTGTGTCATTTGAGGTCATTTTGAGTTGAGTTTAGCTTAGGTCAGGTCACTTTCAGGTAAAAAAGGTGAAATTTTTAAATTATTTTTTTTCCCACAAAAAGGTGTCTATTGGATGCAGTTTGAGCTCAGGAACACGATGCTAATTATATTGGTGTACGATGTCAAATACGTACTGAAAAATTGATTAAAAAATTTATAATTGTGAATTTTTTGCATTAATGCGTATAACTTGGCCATTTTTGAAGATATTTAGCTAAAACTTGCTAGAGTACCTACCTACCTAAGTCATAAGCATGTGTTTTATCACATATATTCTGGTTGCTTCGTTAAGTCAAAAAGTTTGAGAAAAATATAAAAATATAAATTTTGAATTACATTATATATCATTTTTTGACTTTTCATAATTTTTAAAATCCGAGATAGCAGTTACCTAGATAGTGCAGTCTATTATGAGTCCTCGCATGCAAAGAAATGGGATCTAGCTTAAAAACGGAGCTCTTGGGAGCGATTGCCGTGGTTCAATGTTTTGCGTCGAAATCGGCCAAACGTGACGTCACTCTGACGTCATTGACATTTTCGGCCGACCTATGGTAGCTACGAAGTTCATATTTTGACACAAGGTGTCAACGTAATGCAGCCGAAGGTACTAAAAATTTGGCGTCGATACGTCAAGCGGTTTGGAAGTTATTGCAGAAAAACGGGAGGGGGCTATGAATAGCCCCCCCCCCCCTCCAGTGGGGCACGGGTTAATAAATATTTTAGCTCGAACCGAACAGGTACTTTCCTGAGCTTTGACAGTCATCGTTCCCTACCTCATAGCTTTTGTGAGCTTATAAAAAGACGGCTACATGGTAAAAGAGGGTGAACCCCCGACTTCTCTGTTACGCTTATCACAGTCGATGACATCATGTCTCAAGCAGAGATCAATAGCCAGCCCGCCGATCAGAACATCCAAAGCCCTGTTATCTCACAGCCGGGAGCGGATATGGGTCCACCCGTGTCTGAACTGCGACACCCGGGGACAGCGGTTATCTGCGCCGCCGGTTTTGTCGGCACTTAGGCTGTATTTTTTTAGGTTCTGAGAACAAAACATTGATTGGACGCAATCGCATCACTGATAAAGGCAGCCTGCTTCATTGCCGATAACATTCCAACATGAGGCTCCGTTGAGTGGCACGAGACAAGCTAAGCTGTGGAAAGATACCCATCGACATACTTCAAATTTAAATGGCTGTTGGAGCTTGATTATAAAAGATCCATTCTTTTGCCTGCTTGGTAGGCTGCTAAGCATCATTGAACTAAAAGCCATGTCCATCCACTTACATTGATAGGTACGTTGATATGAGAGGTGTGAAAATGACATCATCCCAGGCAGATCAGTGCCCACCTATGTGTCAGTTGAGTTGGCAACTGATAGGAGCGTTGTTGTCTGTTGATTCACATTGGCGCCTAATTTTAAAGTACACGTAACAACACTGCACCGGTGAGCCGGGCGCGGGCAAGGTCGGATGAAAGGTCGTGCTGTCATTCGCCACAAGCACCAGTTATCGCGGCACCCAGGCCCTTAATCACCCATCCATCCATCTATAAGAAAATATTGCTAAACAAGCTAGGCAAGAGCCGCACAGTCTGATTTGGCGGCACAGTAGCAGCTTCATGTGACAATGTTATCTTTTTCAGATAGAGGTCATGGAGCCAAGAAGCAGAGTTCAACTTGCAGACCTTCATCTGAAGCTCATTCGGTTGGAACAAATGGCGGAAAAGAAGAGACTGGATGATGTAAAGAAAGGTGGAGTGTCAATGCTAGAAGTCAACGTGGTTAAGGAGTACAAAGACGAGCATATGTATGAGCTCACTGTCACGCGTGTGAAGGTAGCTCACAACATTGAGAAGGGGGGCACGGTTTCTGTGTGGACAACAAGACCTCAACAAGATCTGAACTCTGAAGACGACCAAAAGAATACCATACCCAAACCGCCTTCTGCAGTGGTGACTGAAGTGAAACTTTCTGCCTCCAAAAAAGAAATCAATCTTAAACTTGTATTTCTATCAAAGCCGCGGAGCTGGGAAGAAGCAAATACGCATCCCAGGACTGTTTTCATACATCCAGTCGAAGATGGCTACACGAACAGCCAGCTAACAAGAGCAATGACGTGGCTTAAAAACATCGACACGTCGCGGGCGTCCTCTGCGGACAAGCATACAGTTCCGGTGGTGCGAGCAATGTTCAAGGAACATGCCCGCGACCGGGAGTCTCTGGAAATGGACTACACCGGCGGGAGCAGCACTCCTTACTTCAACTCGAAGCTGGACAGGTCGCAGGGCAGAGCGGTGGAGATGGCCCTGCGCGACCGCCCGCTGACGGTCCTCCACGGCCCGCCCGGCACCGGCAAGACCACCACCATTGTGGAGGTGATTCTGCAGCACGTGGAGCGCGGTCAGCGCGTGCTGGTCTGCGCGCCATCCAACAAGGCCGTCGATAACCTGCTCGAAGGACTGCTGAAACAGATGGCGAAGACCCCTCGCTGTAAGCTCAGCAGGGGTGGAATCATCCGCATTGGCCACCCAGCGAGGGTGGATGAGAAGCATCGCTGCTTCTCACCTCGAGCGCAAATCAAAGAGCTAAGACGAAAGTTGAGGTCGCAGAATCCCACTCTGCTTTCACGGGTGACTGATGAGCAGCTAGAGGACGCAGCACGGCTGAGGGCGTTGGTAGTGATGAGCACACTGACCTCCGCCCCCAAAGAAGACGACTCATCATATCGAACCTTCGACCTGTTGGTGATCGATGAGTGCGGCCAGGCGACGGAGGCCGCCTGCTGGCTGGCCATCCCACTGGCCAAGAAGGTGCTGCTGGCGGGCGACCCACACCAGCTGCCGCCCACCGTCCTCAGTCAGGAGGCGGCCAGCCGCGGTCTGGCCGTCTCGCTGATGGAGCGGCAGATGAAGCTGCATGGTGAGGGTATCGTCCACATGCTCGACACCCAGTACCGCATGCACGCGCTGATCCAGGAGTGGTCCTCAAAGACTCTGTACGATGGCAAGCTGAAGGCCGCACCGCTAGTGGCAAGTCATCAACTGACCGACCTACCCGGGGTGCGCAGCACGCAGTGGACAAAGCCGACTCTGACGCTCATGGACACCGCCGGCTGCAGAATGACAGAAGCAAAGGGCAAGACCAAGTCGTACCAGAACGAGGGAGAAGCCAGGCTGGTTCTCGAACACGTCAGGCTGCTGATGGATTCTGGTTTGCAGGCCGAGGATATCGGTGTGATCACGCCGTACAAGGGTCAGGTGTCGCTGATCGCAGGGCTGCTCGGCGCCGCGCGACTCGACCAGGTGGACGTGAAGTCGGTGGACGGCTACCAGGGCGCCGAGAAGGAGGCCATCCTCATCTCGCTGGTGCGCTCCAACCCGCGCCGCCAGCTGGGTTTCGTGGACGACGTGCGGCGCCTGAACGTGGCGGTGACGCGCGCGCGCCGCCACCTGTTCGTCGTCTGCGACACGGTCACCGTGTGCCAGCACCACTCTGTCCGGTCTCTAGTCCTGCACCTGGCGAAAAGCGGCACCAGGCTATCCGCCCTCAACGGCCGACGACCGCCCGGTGGCCCCTCTGGTGACAATAAGGACAATAGCGACGGTGCCGTCCGCGAAGAATCCGCGAGCGACATCACGAAACTCACGGCCACCTTCGGCGCGATGAAGCTGAAGCACCCCGAGGGCCATGCCGTGTCGAGAAAAAGCGTGACGACGCCCTCCAGAAGAAGTGGGGTGGCAACCAAGGCAAACGGGGGCCACTCGGCGGCCAGACCAACGCAAATCTTCAAAACATACGGACAGTTTCAAAACACCGCAGCTTCTACACAGGCCAATAAGGGGCGACAGGGTCAGGCCAGGACGACGGTCAGAAGGGCCAGAACTGTCACGAGCCATGCACAGCCTGTAGTGAGCAGCTACAGCTGGGATTATGACGACTTTTAGCGAAAAGAAAACCGGAGAGAGGGGACGCTCTGTGCTGGCAGTGCAGGTGCCGTCTGCCGAACGTCAAGGGATGTCAAGGGAAGCCGGAGGGGAGCGTTTGTGCCCATTACCCCCATTGCACATGCTCGCATTTTCTTAACATGAAATGTAGATTTAAACTGGATGATTTGTATTTGTATTTTGTATTTATTTGCGTACGGTCTCCATGTGATGGCTTTTCAGACCGCGCATGTACGGATTTGTAAACACAAATACTACATTTAACATTGCCCATTACACATCATGAATGCATGCATGCATAGTCATTAGTCACACACGGCTACCCGTTACGACTGGCGTTCCAGTGGGCCGTTGCACGGTAGTTGAAGAAACGCTTTGCGAGTTCCGTACGCACGCGGGGCAATTGTAGAAGGCCAGCTGAAGTAGAACGGGTACCTCTATCAGATACATCGTGCCGGTATACAAGCGACTCTTGTAGGATCTGTGGTGCATGTTGGTGGCTCATCAGTCTGCTGATGAACGACATGTCTCTCTTGCTTATCAAATCGTCAATGGTGGACCAACCAAGCGATGCCAGGAGTGGTGAGACATGCTCTGACTTCCGGCTGCAGAAGATGATACGGGCACAATGATTAATCACACGCTGAATGCGACGCTTCTGGGTGATACCACATCCACCCCAGACGCTCAAACAGTACAAAATGTGCGGAAAAATAAGCGCCTCTATCAGAAATGTTTTAACTTCAGCTGATAGACCACGACAGAATTTTGATAGCCCATGAAGTGTTGCATAGCACCGTTTCACTACAAGAGAAACTTGCGCTTTCCATGATAAGTGTTCGTCAATGTCCAACCCTAGAATTCTTGCTGAAGGGGAAGGACGCAAGATAACACTGTCTAAGTCAACAGAGAACTCTTCAATCTGACGACGCTGGCGTGTCTTAAACAATATGATTTCTGTTTTCTTCGGATTAATTTTAAGACTATTGTTGACGAACCAGGACTGCGCTTCACTGAGGGTGTTCGCCACCCGCGCCTGCAGAGTAGCTAGGTCGGCACTGGAGTGAGCATGCAGAAACTGGACGTCATCTGCGTACATGACGACTTCAGCATCGCTTATGTACTCTGCAAAGTCATTTGCGTACAGCAAGTAGAGTACAGGTCCGAGCAAGGACCCTTGCACCACACCGTGGGTTACATGGGCAAGAGAACCTTCATGAACTCTCTGTTTACGACCGCTTAACCAATCTTGGAACCAATGCGTGTCAACCCCATACCAGCCAAGCTTATTTAGGAGACGGTGATGGGGGACGCTATCAAAGGCTTTGGACGTATCTACTGTCGCCAAGCAAGTGACTTGTTTCAAATCTAAGCTTTGAACAATAAAGCTGACAGTATGCATCATTGCGCACTCTGTTGAGTGTCCTGGGCGAAAACCATACTGGCGGTCACTGAGAATGTGGTGAGCCATTAAATAGTCCATGAGTTGATTGCACACCACTCTCTCAGTCAGCCTCGCTACAGTGGGTAGTATTGATATTGGTCTGTAATTATTTGGATCGGAGCGTGATCCTGACTTGTGGAGTGGTAGAACTCTTGCGATTTTCCAGACAGCAGGCAGCAAACCGGATCCGAGTGAAGAATTGACAACATGCAGCAGTATGAGACCAATCACCGAAAAAGTCATACGAATCATCTGGATAGTAATTCCATCATCCCCAGATGCCTTTGAGTCTGACATTTGTCTCAGTGCAGTGCTTAGCTCAGTTAGTGTTGCTGGACGCACACGGAAGGCTCCACTCACGACACACCGTGGGCGGGGTTCATCTGGGGTGCGTCCCTCTCTCTGAGTCTCTGTCTCAGCGGCCACCCGAGGGCCGCAGCTGGCGAAGTGGTTGTTCAGCTGGTCTGCCATCTCGTGGCTGGTGGTGTCCACGGGATCGGCGTTCTTCTTTGATGAGAGGAAAAACTGTTGCAGACCCTTCCATGCTGAGCCTCGTGAGTCTGTTAGGGAGCTTGCGAAGAAAGACGAGCGTGCTTGCTGGAAATCTTTCTTAACAGCGTTTCTTCTGTCTCGAAATGCCGCTTGGTTCTGTGGCGATGGGTCTCGTTGATAGGCCGCTCGCGCCTCGTCTCGAGCACGCATTGAGTCGCGCAGCTGTGCGTTGTTGACAAGCCAAGGACAGGGGGAGTGACGAGGTCTTACTTCGGTCACCGGCATGTGCTTGTCAATTATAGGAGACCAAATTGACAGCCACTCGGACCACTTCTCATTCATGTCTGAGGCGTAAAACACACCACTCCAGTCGGCCGACATCAGCTCAAGGCAGAGATCGTCAACTGACAGAGATCTCGTTGAACGGATGGTGACCGCGGGTCGCGGTTGCTTCTGACGGTCAGTTGAAATCTGAGTAATGATTAGATTATGGTCGCTACAGCTGTTTGGAATCACCATGGCAGTCGGAGTCCCATCCTCTGTAGCTGGTACCAAGATGTGGTCGATCAGAGTTCCCGGACTGCCGTTCTCCGTCTGGCAAGGTCTTGTCGGCCGCGTTACTATTTGCTTGAGGCCAAAATCGTGTAGCATTTGCTTATAATGCTCCACTCCAGGCTTCTGCGGACTCAGTAAGTCAAAGTTCATGTCGCCAAGAACAAAAATCTTCCGTCCCAAGCTGTGCAGGTGAAGCAGTTGATCGTGCAGGTCATCGGTGGCGGCAGCGGGGGCGGCTGGAGGCCGATAAACAGCACCGATCACCACCGAATGGCAGCCGCCCAGGCTCAGCCATAGGCTCTCCAGCGGCGAGCCGGCTGACGGCACGTTCAGCGTCTCCGCGCGCAGATTGGACCTGTACAAAATGCAGATACCGCCACCTCGCACGCTCCGGCCATCAGCAGCCGGACGGTCAGCTCTGGCTACCTTGTATCCGGGGAAGATCAGGAATCGGGAGTCAAAATCTGGCTGTAGCCATGTTTCTGTGACGCACATTATATCAATGCCATTATCCATTAGTAAAATGTTGACGTCGTCTAATGATGGCACAAGTGACCGGACATTTAAATGTGCCAGGACATAATGATTGTGGGACATTACAGCAAGCACTGTTTGTACAGTAATATATCTATTAGCTGGCATCAGGCCAATTATCCTATCAGAAACTCTAAGATAAACTATCTGTTGCAAGTTAGATATGTGCATTGGCCGTTGCCGTTGGGTGTAGTCGGCTGGCGCGCGCTGCGATCCGTCGCTACTACTTAGGGCGACTGCCTGGTCGCTGATCTGGTCGCGCGTGTGCTCCGGGACGGCGCGAGCGGCTGGTCGAGGAAGGGTTCTATACGTGACCCGAGCTGAGCTCGGGAACGTGATGCTCGTAGAGTTATGCATGGTGTTGTCAATACAGAAACTTCGTAAACGATAGAAGGCTGAAAACCGTCTCTGAGGAATGAATGGGTCGATTGATCAGACCACGCCTGCCGCTTATCGGGCGCTCATATTATTCATTAGCAACTCATGGATTTTACATACACACAACCAACTGACACGTCTTCACAGCAAAATTTGCTCAGGTCATCCGTGATCGGATTTAGCTACGTTCACCAGAATTATCAACGAGGCACTCGACATTTCACTCGCCTACCGGCTATGCCGAGCTAATGCCTACCGGCGCTAACTACAAGGAACAGGCATAACGAGTAGGGGTACATACCTGCGTTGCATTTAGGGCCTAAGATATTCCATAGAAATAATAAATACATACGAGTATACTTAAAGTGATGGCTTCAGTTAAAAAATCTAGTGAATGAACTATAAGTAAAAGCTTGTTTAGATCAATGTACCCATGGAAGAAGGTGGGATAACAAAAGTCGACAAGTTTTTTTTTTGCATTCTTTCACATGGTAGTTATATATCACTGCATGTTAGGCTGCGCTTTATATCTACGTATTACACTTAAAGTCGAGAATTACGAGTCACGCCTTCTCTTGGTTTTGCTCACTGGCGGTCCCAGGGGGGGGCCACGGGGGCCATGGCCCCCCCTTTGGTGCTGAAAGGTGGGGCCATACTATCTTTTGGCCCCACCTTTCAGATCGAACAAAAGTCCTAGAAAAGCTTTTTGTATGTTTCATTTTCTTTCTTGCGCCATCAAAGGACGTAAATTTTACTCATGAGTGGGCTCAGTTTCGTATTCTGTCAATTTGGCGGTCAGCGTCGCTGGCACCGGTTCACGAGTATGGCCGCATCTTACATGGAATATCAGCGTGGGTTTACTTGAGGCTCTCGTAGGCCCAGCAATGGCTGGCATGAGACCTCTTCGGCAGGGATGCGGAGCCGGAGCCGGAGCCGGAGCCGGAGCCGCCGGAGCCGGCATATTTTGCCCGGAGCCGGAGCCGGAGCCGGAGCCGTGAAACAATGTAGCCCGGAGCCGGAGCCGGAGCCGGAGCCGTCAAAAAAGGGGGCGACTCCGGCTCCTTTTCTTGAGAGGAAACATAGATAACAGTAGAACAGAAAACAATTATTTACCTAGTTCGGTTTGACAGTACAAGGCGTAAAACAATGTGGTATTCAAAATAGCCTTGTTATACAAATACAGAAGCAACGTGTACCAATCCCATCGCCTTTTTTCTTCCACCCGTATTTAATTAATCGCATAGGGGATGTACTGGGTAGAAGCCGGAGCCGGAGCCGCCGGAGCCGGAGCCGCCGGAGCCGGATCATTTTACTCGGAGCCGGAGCCGGAGCCGGAGCCGCCAAGACCTTTCACCCGGAGCCGGAGCCGGAGCCGGAGCCGATTTTTTTTTCTCCGGAGCCGGAGCCGGAGCCGGAGCCGTCTGAAATTTCCACGGCTCCGCATCCCTGCTCTTCGGCAGTGGCGGGTGGGCCCTGCCAAAGGAGCGTGGCTCTAAGACACTAAAGTAAGACCTCATGGGTCGGTGCTGTGCACCTCAGAAGCCCGGTGGTGACGCCGTATGCCGGCTTGGTTTCTTAAGGATTAGCGTGGGATCTCCGGGGCCTGCATAGAGTTTGCATTAGCTAGTATGTAATTTCAGAGGCCTGTATGTAATGTGTACACAGTGGCGGTCGCGGGGGGCATCAGGGCCATGCCCTCCCAAGGCACATAAAGGGGGCCATCATATCATTTGCCCCCCCCCCTCAAGCAACCGATGGGCCCCCATAGGTGTATGGGACCCTGGCCCTGATTCGATCGTCACGAGGCTAAAAAACACGCCCACACCGGTCTTTGAGCGTCCAACACTGACCTCTGAGGGAACTTCAGTGGCGGTCAAGCGCCCACGTTGACCGCTAAGAGCCCACATCGACGTCTGAGGCCCCACATCTGACCTATGAGGACCCCTTACCGGCCTCAGGGGCCCCAACCGGCGTCTGAGGGTCTTTCACCGGTCTCTAGTGGCCTTATTGCTGTCTCTGGTGTCCCAAGACGAACATTTAGGTGCCAATGAGGGCCCCGCATTGGCTGCTGAAGACCCGATGCTGGCCTCTAAGGGCCTGCATTGGCCTCTGAGGAGGGCTCATCTTGGCCTTTGAGGGCCCTCTGCTGGCCTCTGGGTTCCAACGACGGCTCATTCCGGTCTTTTAGGGCCCCACGCTGACCTCTGAGGGCCCCATGTTGGCCTGAAATGAGTAGGACCCACATAAGCCTCCGAGAGCCCAACTCGGTCTCTGATGGTCTCAAACTACTGGCCTTTACAGTTTGCAGGCCCTGTACTGGTCTCTGAGGGCCCTAAACTGGCCTCTAAGTGAAAACATACATGGGTGGGCTTCTGAAGATCACAGGGCTCACGCAGACTCCTGCACAGCCGTACGTTGGTTCTGATCGAGATTACTTTACGTCCTGATGGTCCCGCGCAGATTCCCTCATATTTCGACGTCGGGACCCCATGAGCCGGTGTGGGTCCTGGGGCTGGCAGAGACTGATGAAGTCCTTAGGGCTCAGGGCCAGTCTTTTTAGCAGTAGGACTATAAGGCAGGTTGAGTGAGCCCCAATAGAGCCGTTGCGAGGCCCCGCGCGAGTCGTGCGCGGCCCTCAGATGCCAATTTTGAAAACCAGGAACCTGTGGGGCCGGGGGTCTCCAGAGGTCGGTGTACCTATTCTCTCCCGCCGCCAAAGAACTATATGGGTAAATGCCATAGTCTGAAAATGATCTCTGGGTTTCACATGCTTGTTCAAAGCAAGAGGTATCCGTACTTTTCCGAATTGTTTTATTGTGGTAAGGTCATGAATCCGCGTGCCCGACCTTCCAGCATATGCTACACCGATCCGTCGCCATGGTGCAGTGGCCCGACAGGTGGAAACACCGTGGGACGGGAAATGGAACTGGTGCTTTTGCCTTAAATTGAGCTTAAAGATTTCACGCAAGAATGAGATGGATGAAGCATAAGTAATGCCAACTGCGCGGCGCCTCGTGGACGTAAAAAATTAGCCGATCACCCCCCCCCCCCCCGGTGACTAATAAATGTTATGTCCCGCGAGTGTGACTTTGGCCCCCCCTTTTGCGAGCGGCTGCGACCGCCAGTGGTTTTGCTGCCTGGATAGTCTCCGTTACCACTAATGTCTCAAGGTCGGCTCGTAGATTGGCAGTCGCCGGTGCCTCATATGTCTCAAGGATGGCTCATAGCTGGACACAGTCACCGGTAGCTCAAATGTCTCAGGAATGCCTGATAAGTAGAGGTGGCAAAATGTGAAAATTTTGGGAACCAGATTCGAACCAGACCCGACTGGACATTTCTGGAACCAGTCGAACCCAGTCTAAGGTAAAATCGGAACCAGTTGGACCCGTTCCCCAAAAGTCAATTAATGCAAACTATTTGTAGATATCATTAGTTGCATCAAGTAAAACAGCCTTTTTCCCACTGGTAATATTTATGAGCTAGTGTGCAAAAAAAAAAAAACACACACACACACAAGAGCAAATGTTTTATTTTCATTCACTTCATATTTTGGAATCATGTGTAGTGTGCATGGTTTATGGTAGGACCCGGTTGGACCCGTAAGAAAATTTTCAGGAACCGGTCTGGACCCATAGGTATGGGTCCAGACTGGTTCTTTGGACCGGGTCCTCGGGTCCACAATTTGCCACCTCTACTGATAAGTCGCCGGTGTGCCTCAGATGGGTATCTCAGGGATGAATGGCTCTTAGCCGAAGAGTCGATGGTGTCTCAGATGTCTCAGGGTCCGCTGCCTGGTGAGCCGCCGGTGTCTCAGATGTCTCGGTGACGGCTGGCGAGTCACCGGTGTCTCAGATGTCTCAGGGATGATGACTCTGCACCTGTGCCGTCCCTATTCTGGTCGGTGTTGGTAGTGTTCGGCGTGGGAGACTGGTAGCGGACCATTCAGAGACCGGCCGACACCGGAAGCGGCGCCGGTGACTGGTCGTATCTCCTGCGCGCGGCGTCCATTCTGCGCCGGCCGGCAGCCGAGCCTCGCCCGGCGCCGCAGTCCGCTCGGCTCCACACAGACGGTCCCCGACACCCCGCCGGCGCCGATCCCAGTTCAAACATCCCAGACCGATACATTTCGGCCCCGCGGGTGTGTAAATCGTCACCTTTCGACAATGCCCGGGCGTCCCCCGGCGGCCGGCCGGCCGAATTTCCATAACAGGATTGTGCCGGGTCGTCGGCGGCGGCGGCGCGGGCTCGTCGGCGCAGACGTTTCACAGTTGGTCGGCGGTGGAACTGGATTACGTTGGTAAGTTTACCGACGCGGCTCGCCTGATGAGCGGCAATTGGATTTGCCCGCGGGCGGCTCGTCTATGGAGCCGCGTCGTCAGCCGGCGTGTGCCGAACGTAATCAAATCTGGCGCAGTGCGGCGACCAGTGGCGCTGTGCGACGACGACTACCGCGGTGCGACGATTGACTAGCGAAAAGGATATCCGGGAAGTTCGCGCCGGCGTCAGCGACTGACTTTTCACGATTTCTCGGGACGTGCTGCCATGCAGAGCTAAGCGGTTGGATGCCTACTCAACCTTGAGTCCAAGCCTGATCGATTACAGGTAGGGGAGAGTGGGGCAAAGTGGCCACCCTAACGCTTCTCACGATGCCAACGCTTCATTTTTAAACTTGGAAAGATTCTTTCTATATCAATGTAATCCCTATTAAGTTGCTTTTTATTTCAACTGCGTTTTATTTCCAAAAGCGTTCACATATGAAAGATATTGAGTCATTGACAAAACTTTAAACCTATACATATTGGCCACTTTGCCCCATACCCTGGCACAAAGCGGCCACCGGCGTCTTCTCAAGTCGGCCCGATATGAGAAACAAAATAGTTGCCTCGTGTATGTACGGCTAGGGTATTTGATGGTGACAAGGTTAAGCGAGGATGGATGTTTACTTTATCATCTTCCATCTGTAGGTAAACAAACAAAGGATTTTCATGAAAAAAAAACATTTAATTGCATTATTTGGTAACTCATGCAACTGAAAAGTGGCCAAGATGAATGCATGACGACACATTTGAATATAAATAATGTTTTTTATCCAGATGGAAGCAACTTATGGCCAATTGGGGGTGGCCACTTTGCAGGGTATATTGAGTTGCCCCGGCCACTTTGCCACGCGCATACCGTCCAAGACAAAAATACCTATTCCAGTTAACCCTCGCCCGTAAACGGTGTTTTGCCACCTTCGCCCATGCAGGGGGGGTTGGTGCGACCCCCCCCTGGCGTTTGAAAACGGAGCGTCGTAGAGCTTAGTGGAAAAGACCAACGGATTGCTCTCAACGAGATCTCGCGATTGGTGGTATATTTTTTCCCTAGGTCAACATTTGACCTACTTATGAACGGTCAAAGGTCAAATTTTCGGAAAAATCTAACTTTTTCAGATTTCCGCGCCGATTGCGGCAAAACGGTAAGATATATCGACTTGAAACTTTCACTGTCGTGATCCTTGATCAATTCTCGATCGTTTGGTGTATATTTCGATATCATAACTCTAAAAATGATGCGTTGGGAGCATCGGAAGTCTGCAAGGTCATTTGTGCATTGGGTCACGTCAGGCGTGTGACGTCACTGACCTGACCCTGACCCAAAATGAACTACAAGAAACAACCGACGATGCCTGAAATGGATAGCAAATTCGAATTCAGGGCATCAAAATACCCCGAAAAGGCATACAAGTGCAAGAAGTCATTACAGGTCAACCGAGGTCACTGACCTGACCTTGACCTTTAGTAACCTTGAAAAGGTCAACGGACATTGTACCAATGTCAAATCAGCCAGTTATGATTCTAAAACAATCCATCAGTGTGTCAGGTCAGTCGGCATTTATACCAATGTGAAGCAATCTCAAATTTAGCGTAAATCTGGCCGGAGGTTGTTCCCTTTATGACGTCATAACTCCGTGACCTGACATGACCTTCACAAAATTTTTTTACCAAAAGTTGCGCAAAGGATGCCCCAAAGGGTACTGAAAATTTGAGCAGGCTATCTGAAACGGTTCGGCGTGTAGCTAAGAAAAACCTCAGGGGGGGGGGTTGCACCAACCCCCCCCTACATGGGCGAGGGTTAAGCTATTAGTGGGGTAAAAAACATTAAAATTGGTAGAATACATGTAGGTATGATATCCATGCAATGCATGGACAAGAACGATTATAAAAATTCCAAACGGTTATGGAATAACGTAACATTTAAAAGTTGTAAACATAGTTGGTAACCTGGCAAGAAATGCTTTTCCGTGTTTCACAGAACAATGGTGATGGGCCTGAAACCCCGGTCTGGCTCATTCGAACGACCGTGAAGAGAAGTATAATTGGAAACCATAAATTGGAACTGACGCCAGCTATGAAGGGCTGAAACGATGGGTGGCCGCTTTGCCCCGGGTGGCCGCTTTGCCCCACTCTCCCCTACCTACTGTACCTAGGTGTCCCCGGCTGAAGCGGCTATTATATATATAGGTACAAATACAATTAAAAAAATATACTTACCTACAGTGGCGGCGGAACACCTTTTGACCTGACCTGACCTTCAGGCTTCAGGTGACCTTGACGGGTGCAGTTATTTTTTTACATCTTAGTTTTTGTTTACGCGTTTTTAGACGTTTCTCGGCGCACTGTTGTTGAAGTTATACCGGCCTATTTTACAGCTATTTTTGATTCACAAAACTGCTGCAATTTTTAGAACTTTTTTTTGCATATTGACATTTTGATGAAATTGGAATGCATTAAAAGATCTTTATTCTTAAAATCTTGAATGCCAATATAATAACAATGTGAGTCGAGCCACGCTCGTAGTGAAATATTACGAATCAATGATAATAACAGTAACCGGCAGAAAATATGTAGTTACCGCGATTGCATAATATTATATATTCCGCGTGAAATTGACAGGAGATACCAAAAGAATAATAGCCTAAACAAATATTGAAATAAATGAAAGCTCATAATAACCGCTTATCACTGGTAACGCTGACCATTTTCTTCGAACATTAAATGCTTACCATACCATAACATCTGAGGATAATGAACTTGAATCTCGAAAAGCGAGTTGTCCAGTTTCAGTCTCAGTTTGTGTGGTACTGGCCACTGGGATACATTTATTATCAGTGAATCAAATAAAAATTGCCCGGGGCATCATGCTATGATTATATGAACCAGTTAATATGTATAAAATCTAGTTATTGGCCAAACGTAACGGCCAAGGACCGTAGGTTGACGACCCCGAAATTTAGCGAAATGAAGTATAGGTTCAAGCAGTTTGAATAATGCTGGTGCGTAGAGTTGAATAGTGATGTAAATGTGGCCACAGTCTACAAACACGATAACAAATATCGATTGCGCTTCGCTCAACCAGAGCCATGCTCGTTCTTGCTCATGAAACAGTGCATCCCCATAAAATGAAAAGTCCGAACGAATGCATTCAGGTCCCTACCTCTGAATCACCTTATATTGAGATCCGTTTCTTAACAGGAACACAAACGCGGCCCATCAATTTGTCAGTACTAAGGCAACAGCGTCTGACAAGTGACAACGCATCAAATGGCCAACTTCTGACACTATCTACCAATACGGTAACGGCAATAAAATTGCATTGCAAAAGGCAAATAAAATTGCACGATTTCCAAGCGCAGCTTGAAACCCATTAGGGGCAGTAACCCATTAGGGGCGAAAGGAAACACATGACTTGTGTACGACCAGCGTTCTGTCAGCGTACGACGCATAAAGCAAACTGCTCAAACAACTGCGGTCCCGAACAACACAACACAGAGCTCCGAAACGAATGGTTTACAAAAGTCTACGACTGACGACATCGAAACAGTACGCTCATCGGGACTAGTCACATGACTCGCTCAACCCAGCTGGGTTATGGGTACTAATTGCGCTTCAAATTGACCTCTGACAGCCATTTACTTACGCTAGTTTGATGCATAAAACTGTACACTGAAACTCAAGCGGCAGCACATAGGTCTCCATCAAGGTGGTTATATACAACAGAGCACCTCGCTAAAACGAGCGCGAGCCGCACTGTCACACTGACAGAACACTGAGCCGCGAGTCGTGACAGTCGCACTGCGTCATATGCACGCAGATGTCGCACTCGCGGCACCGTTGCTGGCACTGCACTGCGCTGCGGGTGGACACGCGCGGTGCAGTAGCTCCACGGTGTGCGGCTCACCGGAGGGATTACCAGTCTCCGACCAGACAGTCCAGGCGGGAAATGCGGCGTCTTCAATCATGACCGCCGTCCCCGCCTCCGCGGAGTGCCGCACGGCGGCGACGCGGCGGCGTCGAATCTTGAGCTGGTGGACACTGGACTCCTGCCAGAGCTACCAGCTTCAGCCCTTCAGCATCCTGTCATCAGCAAACTCCAGCAGAGCTCCAATGCAACTGGGAAAATAAAATTTATGCTGTTAAGCTAAATCATACAAGGATTCCTTGCACAGGATTCTCTTGCGCAGTTCAGCAAAATCTTTTGTGATATCCATGGCCGTGACAAGAGGACTTGATGCCATTGTAAAAAATATAGGTTCATTGGTTCTCATTTACCCACATCGAGCCTCTATAGGTACCATTCATTTGTATATCATGAAGGATGTTAACTACACAATATTTATGCAATAGACTGACGTGAAATATGTAGGAATGGCAAGAGAGATGGGTAAATAAGCCAAATAGGTTGCAGGATTTATTGGCACCAAACAGGTCAGAAAGTAGAAGTTCAAACAATCTTACAAACTACACCAGAGAAAGTCTTTGAATTAGGTACAAAATTATGCCACAGAAATAAAAACAATGCAGTTTTGTAGAGCATTTCCCAAAAGATAATTGTGATTCAGCCTTGCTCCCATTCTGAGATTGAATAAATACAAATTATGAGGTGAAAGTTACTAAAAAGCATTTTTTTTTTAGAAAACAGCTTCAATCCATGTATGCCTGATTTCAAACTCAAGGCAACATCTCATAGCTTTGACAGCATGAAATTTCATTATTGAGGTTACAATTTCCATAATATTGTCACAAACAGTGCACTTTAATATGGATAACTAACACCAAATCAGCCAACATTGTATCTTATCTGGTGAAACTCAAGAAACCAATAAAGCAAACAATTTCTGAGCAAAAACATTTAGGTATTTGACAAGCTCAAGCACTAGCCAGTAGCCACTGGAGCGGTATGATGGGGTCTCGTAACTTGAACGTTCAGTCTACAAGCATGCCTGACTTGACTTAACAGCTTTGAGACATCACAAAGACCTTTGCAGCAGCTCCTCCTATTCTTTTTTAACATAAACTTAAACTATCATTACCATGCTATGATGATGAGGTGGCTGGTTTCGTTCGGGCGCATGAAAAGTAGCAGCCCTTCTTTCATTCTATTTTGATTTCCTTGTTTTCACATGCTGCACAAAATGTTTTTTCTTCCACGTTCCTTCTGTCATTATAAAAAAATAATAAGTATCATAATTGCTTCACTTCTTCTTTATATTCCAAGTATTGCTGCTGCAATTCATCACATTTCACGTTAGTAAACAGTGCTAAGATGAGAAAAAATAACCGCACCCACCTTGACACTCACCCTAATGCATGGGAGCAACATCAAATCACATGTTTGAACGTTTGAAACCACGAAAAGCTTACAAACGCGCGGCTAATGCGAGCCGACATACGCCGAATCGCGATTTCGGCCAAACATGGTCACGGAAAAGAGGTCGCAGGTCAAAGGTCATTGGGGTCAGGGTCATGAAATTTTCAGGGTAGGTGTAAAATTGATCAATGCGAGGGTAATTAAAGTTTCGTCGCGATCGGCCGCTTTTTACGCGAGTTATTCGCGAAAAACCTTAGAAGGGGGGGGGGGCATCCCTGTGCCGGCGAGGGTTATTTTTTGGCAACCTAACAATATAAAGTGGCCAGAATCCGGGAAGAGAGTAGGATTCATGGGGGTAGTTAAGGTTCTGCAGGCGCCATCCTAACAAAAACCTAATGGCATTGGGCCCCCCTTTCAGATGCCCCTGCATCCGCCCTTGCCCCGAACTTTATTCCCCCTCTCGACTTTTCCTGTAAAAGTAACCCTGCTTTACCTACACTTCTTGGAAGGTCCGATGCTTCATTATTGCATAGTTGACCTTGCGTGGCGTCATGTATGACGTCACATAAGTCACGCCCCGTCACGACACGTCGTCACGTCATAGGTAGGTACCTATATGACGTCAACGCTAGACCCGGAGGACCATGCCGCCATCTACCTGCACAGTGCACGGCGTTGAACTTTCGATTAATTATCTCCTGTGGACCAGGCATGCGGGTGCAAGATCGGGTGGTGGGTGACGGGTCCATGATATCATTTGTACCAAGCACTGCTTAGCGAGGCGAGGCACCTGGCCCCTAAGCAGCCTATTCATTCATTTGGGCGAAATCTAGGGCGAAGGCCAGGTCAACAACGTTTTTTTTTGTCAATAGTCCCGATAAAATCAATTTAGCGATTCGGTAAAGTCACCAATTGGCTCAGAAAACAAGCCGAATCGAGCAGCCCTACCCGATATGCAACATGACCTTCCTCATGACTGGCTTCGTGATCTGAGAGTTTCGTGGCCTGACCTTGACATGAATGAAGTCAGCACCCTAAAACTTTCATATTTAGGCATAGCACTCGACACGCCTGCGATCATGTGAACACGATAGTGACAAAATTTGCGGCTCGGGCCGTCGTGAGGGTTTTTAGAAGCTGTCCTAATGACCCCAGGCCAGAAGCCGCACGGAAGCCTAAGAAACCGTGTGGGACCACCGCAACCTGCAGTGGCCCTTCCAAGGCCATATAACCTTCACTTGAAGCGGCCGAAAGCCACCTCAAATGGGCCTCCTGCAGGTTCGTATGGGGGATACGATACGGGCCCGTATACCCCAAGGCCCTATACCTATACCGTGTGCCCCTGGTATGCCCATCGGCCATTGCCCCTGTCTCCCATAACCTGTGTGTTTCTTCGGCTCCCTGCTTGGAAATCACTTACCAGATGCGATTAGTTTAGTTGTCATCAATAATAATTATTTAGCGCAACTGTTTTTATGACGAACGGTAGAAACTAGTAGACAGAAAGCAGTCCGGTAGAGTTTTGCGGATAAGTAAATTGCGACAAATCTAGCGCATGTTTTGTTATTATCGAAAAATGTCTGTGGGGTTTTGTGTATTGTGTTTAATTCTGTGATAATATATCGTGAAGTAGATAGTGAAAATATTTTGTATTAAATCGAAACGCCGTTCACGACGCTCACGATAACGATACATATACGACGACGAAGTTGCCACTCCCCATACATTTGGGGACTTCGAAGGCATCGTGTTTTAGTGTGAATCTTCAAGATCGAGATGAATGCCTCAGCAACGGGGGCAACCCCAAGAACTAGGCCTTCAGCCTCAGCAATGTCTGGCCTAAGATTAAATGTGAGAGATGTTCACAATAGATTACAAGAGGAAAATGAATCCAGGGATGCAGACCGTGGCCTTAACCTGGATTTTTCTCGTCCGAAGGAAGGCCAACCGAGTCGGAGACCAAGACCATGTATGTATGCTAGAAAATGAACGAGTTGTGAATTTATGGTTTGGTAATTGTAATGAGAACCTTTTATGGACTAATTTTAGTTGTTAATATGACATGCATGGATATTTGGTGGGTTTTGGTGATAAAATGCAATGAAAGAATGCAATTACAGTCGTCCTCAAAATTATTCATACCCTTGTTAATTTACGACATCTTTTGCTTTTTTGATGAAAAGAAAACATTTTGTCGAGCTTATTTATGATTTATATATGACCAACAGGGGAATGAATAACAGCAACATACAACTGACAAAATATTCAGTTTCAGGTCTGTTTTATTCATGAATCTTTGAAAACACTCATGTTCAAAAATATTCATACCCTTGGTTTTCAGAGTTCAGTGTCTTTCTTCAGTAGTCGATAGCATATCCTTTGTTCCTTATTACTGCTTCTAGTCGGTTCCTGTAGGTGCTCACAAGCTTGCCACACGTTTCCTGTGGGATTTTGGCCCATTCTTCCCTGGCGAAAGCCTCCAGCTGGGTCAGGCTAGTCGGTTTCCAGGCCGTCACTCGGGTCTTCAAGTCCCGCCATAGATTCTCTATGGGATTCAGATCAGGACTCTGACTAGGCCACTCGAGGACGCTGATATCATTGTCCTCGAACCATTCCTTGACTACTTTAGCCGTGTGTTTGGGATCATTGTCTTGCTGGAACTTCCAGTTGTTGCCGAGTTCCAGCTTCTCTGCAGATTCCTTCAGGTTTTCGTCCAGAATTTGGATATAGTCCTCCTTTATCATGGTGCCCTGGATCCTGACGAGGTTTCCTGTGCCGCGGGAAGAGAAGCATCCCCACAACATGATGTTTCCGCCACCGTGCTTGACGGTTGGCACCGTGTTCTTGGGATTGTAGGCCTCTCCTAGAGGCAATATGCAGCAAGATTCCAACTTCTGGGCAAACATCCTGTGGTCTGATGAGACGAAGTTGGAGTTGTTTGGGCACATGGATGCTGCATATGTTTGGAGGAGTAAAGGAGAGGCCTACAATCCCAAGAACACTGTGCCAACCGTCAAGCACGGTGGCGGAAACATCATGTTGTGGGGATGCTTCTCTTCCCGCGGCACAGGAAACCTCGTCAGGATCCAGGGCACCATGATAAAGGAGGACTATATCCAAATTCTGGACGAAAACCTGAAGGAATCTGCAGAGAAGCTGGAACTCGGCAACAACTGGAAGTTCCAGCAAGACAATGATCCCAAACACACGGCTAAAGTAGTCAAGGAATGGTTCGAGGACAATGATATCAGCGTCCTCGAGTGGCCTAGTCAGAGTCCTGATCTGAATCCCATAGAGAATCTATGGCGGGACTTGAAGACCCGAGTGACGGCCTGGAAACCGACTAGCCTGACCCAGCTGGAGGCTTTCGCCAGGGAAGAATGGGCCAAAATCCCACAGGAAACGTGTGGCAAGCTTGTGAGCACCTACAGGAACCGACTAGAAGCAGTAATAAGGAACAAAGGATATGCTATCGACTACTGAAGAAAGACACTGAACTCTGAAAACCAAGAGTATGAATATTTTTGAACATGAGTGTTTTCAAAGATTCATGAATAAAACAGACCTGAAACTGAATTTTTTGTCAGTTGCATGTTGCTGTTATTCATTCCCCTGTTGGTCATATATAAGTCATAAATAAGCTCGACAAAATGTTTTCTTTTCATCAAAAAAGCAAAATATGTCGTAAATTAACAAGGGTATGAATAATTTTGAGGACGACTGTAGGTAATGAATGTCAATTAGCTACTTAACTACCAATTAGCTAGCTTATTTGTTAAGGCACATATATAATATGAGTTATGAATATCTGCACATTAGCAGTATCTGTATTGTATGATGTAGGGATATTTCAGTGATTTAGTGTAATGTTGATATGTGTGTATGTGACAAGAACTGTGTTATTGGAACCTTCCTGCCATGGAACATTTCAAGCATTTGGTATAGCTACTTACTGATCAGCAGTGTGACATTCTTGTCTATAACATAGCTTTGAACATATTTGAAAAGACTGTAGACGGTACAGAACTCCACTTTGCCTGGCCTGGTAGGTGTAGCCATCATATTGGCATGAATGAATCACCTTTAACCCCTTTTATAAACCATTTTGTGTTACACTAACACAACTGTTATACAGCTGATTTTGTGCACAAGGCTGTATAACAAGTATACTTTGCAAGGATGAAATATTATTGACCTCCTGACTGATGTTATTAAAATCAAATATACATTGTCTTCTTTTATTTTCACATCCTCTCTTAATGCTTCTGAGACTCATTGAAATTGAAGAAAATATCCTCCAATCCAGTTCATGAAAGGCACAACTCCAATCCACCAGCTCAAATAACACAAGCCTGACAATAGCGAAACTCCCTTCTGACCACTCGACTGGCTACAACAATGTAGACCATATGTTGAACTATCATGTCTTTCTTGAACCCTTGTCAGATATGCCGAGAAGCCACATCAATATAACTGACTCTCTGACTCCAGCCCAGCTACCAGCTGTCTCTGACACCCATCAGGTGCATTTTGTCCAGCCCATTGGGCTACCTTTGGGCCTTGACTCCCCTGGTGTGGTGTGTCCGACCATTTGGGACGGGTACCTTTGACTTTCCTGGTGCGCTCCTTTTGGCTCCGTCTGACTGTGCGTGTGTGCGCGCGCAGTACCGATCACGGCCGAGTTCGCGCCCGGGCGGTCGGACGAGCAGCGCCGACCGCCGCGCAACCTGCACTTCCCGTCGCACCAGCAGCCGTTCCGGCGCATCAACAGCGCCGAGATCCAGACCAAGATGAACGAGATCATGCAGCTCACCGGCATACTCACCATTGACGGCGTGGTGAGTCCCCACGCCGGCCGAACGGTGGTCCGTCCCCGTCCCCGGTGGGGCGCTGGTCACTGGTTAGTCCCCGCCAATGGTTGGGCGCTCAACGATGGTCAGTCGTACGGTGCTGATTAGTCCGTAGTCGTTCGTGGTGGTCTGGGTTAGGGTTTCATAAGTGTATGTGCCTTTCTCGTACTGTTTGCCTCCCCTGAAGTTTTAAAGAGATACAGGAATGTGGAGTGCAACTGCAATAAATGATTGTTGTCACGACGGCTTTGAGGTCCCAATAAATGATGAGCTCTCTGCTGTGATCATATACTCCACACGGCATTCGGGCCTTATACCCTCGTGACTTTTGTTACTTGATTAAGCTTCTCGGAAAGCTGGGATTGGTATCGACGTCGCCGCTTATTTTGATGACCAGCTTCAAAACTCTTTGCCACTAATATAACGACGCTGCCGAAGTTAGCAGAGCCGTTCTGTCCCGTTCCCGATAACTTGCAGGCTGTCTATCGTGCCGCCCGCCGGTTCACCACTGACGGCGCTGGGTCGGTCTGATTGCAGCGGTACCGAGCCTCGCCGGAGGACCTGCAGCACGTCGGTGAGCTGGGCACCGGCAGCTGCGGACACGTCGTCAAAATGGTCCACAAACCCAGCGGAAAGGTGCTGGCCGTCAAAGTAAGTGCCCCGATATCTGCTGTTCGTTCGATAGAGTGTTCAAACTTCAACCGATTACCGTACGAATTTCCGAGTTCAGAAAGACGGCTCTGCCCTGCCGTACTAGGTAAGTAGTCGGTTTTTAGAATATTCACTATTGTATTGTATTGTATTGTATATTGTATTAGCGAAGCATTCCAATGATGAATTAGTGTCAGCTTCTAATCAATGACAATAGTAAAAACATATAAAACACAAGCACCCACACGCATACACATTGTACTAAAATACCAAAACGCTAGTCACATGTTGAGTTTAAAAGTCGTAAAAACTCCGCTCTAGTTCGAGAGCCGGTGGTGGCAGGCACTATAAAAGAGTCATCACAGCCTAGTGTCTATCTGCAGCCTTACAACTTGGCACCACAGAAGTGCTCACCTGTCACCTGCCATGTGCCTTTTCCTGTGCTGCGTGTAGCTGTTGATGGGCAGCCCATCTAGGTATCTGATGTTCCTACCCGACCCGCTCACCCCCCCCCCCCCCCACTCCATCTGATCTGTCTGCTAACCATGTAACTCGCCTCCGCGGCCCCGCTCTGGGTCTGTCCTTCTGACATCCCTCCCTAGACCCACCGCGACCACCCGTCTGACCCACCTCCCGGACCGTTACAGCAAATGCGCCGCAGCGGTAACCCGGAGGAGAACAAACGGATTATCATGGACCTGGACGTGGTGCTCAAGTCGCACGACTGTCCGTACATTGTCCAATGCCTGGGCTGCTTCATCACCGACGCCGACGTCTGGATCTGTATGGAGCTCATGGCCACCTGCCTCGACAAACTGCTCAAAAAGCTGGGCAACAAGCCCATTCCGGAGCCCATCCTGGGCAAAATCACCGTCTCCGTGAGTTAGCGTGACTGATGGTGTCAGTGGCGATTTAAAAACTGTACGGATGTTGAATGATTCACGAGAAATCATTCAGGGTGAACTGTTTGTCCGAAACTAGTGCCTCACTGATTATTTGTTGAGCTGTTCGATAAAACTATCCCAGCTAAATATTTACATATGCAGCCCGGCAGGTCATCAGACATTGTAGATAGAGGCTAGAGCAAAGACATTGAACCCTTGCCACCGTTTTGTTTCTGTCCCAAAGCTGTGTCCTTCCCCAGTTGCAATACCTTCCAGTCGTTCTCGCGCCTCTGGTTGTCCCCCTGCGTCCTCCACACCTCCGCCCACAGCTCCTCCTCGACGAACAGCCTCGTTACCCTACGTGCGCCAGCTCTTCGCTGCCTTCCTCTCCATATGCGGCTCCCCGTGCTCCCCGCCAACCGCTGCACCCTGCCTGTCCATAGACGGTGAAGGCGCTACACTACCTGAAGGACCAGCACGGCGTCATCCACCGCGACGTCAAGCCCTCCAACATCCTGCTGGACGAGATGGGACAGGTGAAGATGTGCGACTTCGGCATCTCGGGCCGGCTGGTCGACTCCAAGGCCAAGACGCGCACGGCCGGCTCGGCAGCATACATGGCCGTGAGTAGACTGGTGGCAGCGGAGGCTGGCCGCTGAGCGGGTGTGCAGGTGTAGCGGTGCACAGCACAGCTACGGAGAGGAACGGTTTTAAAGGATGGTAATCGGTACATCTGTGCGGTAATCAGTAATCGTTGTGACTGTAGTATCGGTCATGGTTGGCAGTTTTGTTTAGGAGTTCATATAATTGACTACAAGTGCCAGGAATATCAGAGCTCTCCATCTTTCATCGCGTATTCTTCCATCCACTCAGTGCTCGATTTTGGTGGTATCTTAACCGCAACGTTTGGTCTCAGACCTCCAAGATATTAACCCTCGCCCTGGCAGGGGGGGGGGTCGATGCGACCCCCCCCTAAGGTTTTTCGAAGATAGCGTAAAAACGGCGGCGCGCAGCGCCGCCAAATTTGGCACAGCCTATGGGGCAACCTTTTTACATATGACCTGAAAATTTCAGGTCCGGGTGACCTTGGGTCAGGTCACCAGGTCAGCGAAACCGGTACAAGGTCATGGTCAAATTTCAGTTTTCTTTTTGCACCTGTCCAACTCACAGTTTTCGACCGATTTCCTTCAAACTTTCAGGATGTGCTAAGTTCACCGAGTTGTATAACATATAGTCCGGCTTTTTTGAGGTCACTGACCTGAGGTCAGTTAGAGGTCATTACGTCGTAATGTTAAGCCTATGGGAAAATACTAAATTCGGAAAATACTGGAGAAATCCGCTTCGTTCTATCACTTTTGTGCTTTGAAACCACGGTACTTAACAGCAGGTCACTTGGTGCTTCTTTGTTAGGTGTACTTATCCATGGGTCAGGTCAAATGAGGTCAACTGAGGTCAAATGACGTTTTTGCCAATAACTTGGCACATAATGACGCTAGAGCTTAAAAAATGGTATCATTGTGTTCCTGGTGATCAGCTGAATCGAATGATATGCGATATGATGCAATTTGGTTAACTTGAACTTAATTTAACAATTTAAGTTTACTTAAAATTTAAGAAAAACTTTAAGTACACTTAAGCAAGCTAAAAAGTATATCATTCGACGCGCCTTGACGTGCTGAGTTCAATGGTGCTTTTCTTTTTGCTCTATCTTAATTAGATCAAAAGTTATAAGCGAAAAACTTTTGACCTGTTTTTAGCGAAATTTTTACATTTATACCCCCCAAAACCCCCCTAAATATTGACATAGAGCAACCAAATTTGCACAGGGGCGAGAACTCCAGGGGGCCCACCTACCTACCAAATTTGGTGGTTCTAGGCTCCATAGGAGCCAATCGCGAGGGGGGGTCGCATCGACCCCCCCCCTGCCAAGCCGTGTTATGAAAAATGCCCTGCCAGGGCGAGGGTTAAACTGTACCACGACATGTCCTACCCCTCTACCCCTGACCCGGTCCCTCTGCCCCGCTGCCCTTCTGACGTCCTGCGGTGCCCCTCCGCCCCTGTCCCTGCCCCTCTGACCCCTCACCCCTCACCTCTGCCCGTCTGACGCCCTCTGCCTCTCCCAGCCGGAGCGGATCGAGCCGCCCAACCCGGACCGGCCCGACTACGACATCCGCGCCGACGTCTGGTCACTGGGTATCACCCTGGTGGAGCTGGCCACCGGCGTGCTGCCCTACGCCGACTGCACGTCAGAGTTCGAGGCGCTCACTAGGGTACGGCGGAGGGTAACAGGCGCGCTGACAGTCTTGGGGGGGGGGGGGACGTAGGCGCTTTATTTGATGAGCAGAAACGGTGACTCTCATGCATGTGAAGTGAGGACATTTTGAGTTGTGTCGTGCGAGTCACTTGCAACTGGGAAAAATATGTTCTTAGTGAAAGTCAAGGTTACTTTTCTGTAGACTAGGTTTTTCAACGCATTCGTATGAGGTTTTATCCACGCCCTTGCATCGAAATTACACAAATGCGTTGAGATCTAGCGTGAGTTGAGGTAACGTTGGCCTGCCGAGAGGCTGTTGTTCCCTGCTCTCCTCTGTGCCTCCTGCGCCACCGTTCCGTTTGTGGCCGCCTGCGGTACCATCAGTTATTCTCCTGACCGCCAGGTGCTCAAGTATGACGCGCCGCTGCTGCCGGACGGCGGCGGCTTCAGCCCCGAGCTGCGCAGCTTCGTCAAAGACTGTCTCACCAAAGACTACAAACAGAGACCCAAGTACAAGCGGCTGCTGGACCACGAGTTCATTAAGAAGTCGGAACGGATGCGGGTCGACGTCAGCTCCTGGTTCAGAGGTGGGTGGCAGCTGTCAGCTCCTGGTTCAGTGACTGCTCCTGGTTCAGTGTCAGCTCCTGGTTCATTGTCACCTCTTGGTTCAGTGTGTTCAGTGTCACCTCCTGGTTCAGTGTCAGCTGCTGGTACAGTGTCAGCTCCTGGTTCAGTGTCAGGTCCTGGTTCAGTGACTGATCCTGGTGTAGAGATTAGTGCTCAGAGAGGCGCTCTTCTCGTGCTGCTAAATCCGTACTCTTTGCGTGTTATCCTGCCGCCGCTGTTCTGTTGCGACCCCACCCTGTCTCCGAGTCGCTCCCTGTCTGTCTGACAGCTCACCCCTCCCTGTCCTCAGATGTGCAGGCACAGACCTCCGGTATCAAGACGCCGACAACGAGGAGACGAACGCCGCCGCCCGCCTCTCCCCACCACCCCTTCCACAGCCGGAGACGCAACCCCGAGCCGGAGAGGTCAGTCAGCGGGTGCGGGGGACCATGGACGCATCCAGAGCCGGAGATACCTACGGGGGGGGGGGGAGACCAGAGAGGCCAATTGGGGTCTGGGATGACCAGGGGACGCTATGCTTAGTCCGGGATATCACTCACCAATCCTGGATAAAATATGGGACTTTATTTATTGGTAGAACTAAGTGGCGACGGAACACAAGGAGAACAGGCGTTGGATACAATGCTGCTGTCTGCTGTACTTCAGTACCTACATGGCCCGTGGGCGTGTCTCCGTGTCCAGAACACACTGGCTACCAGACGGTACTGAGTGCTCTGGTATTCCTCACAGTAACATATGTACGGGATCGTCCGTAGTATTTGTTTGACGGTCGCTCTAGCATAATAATCAGCCTCGGTTTGTGATGGCGCAGTGTTACAACAGGGCATGCCTGACCCTAATCTAACGACTCTGACTCGTGTGCCCATGTTCAGCAACAGTGTATGCAGCTGATTCTGTTCGTCACTCAGTTGCGAGCTAAAATTGTCATTGCTAACATCCCGACCACACTGTGTTCAGTTTACCTGCTGAATCGCATCTCCTGACCGCTCCTCCTGACAGGGCCCGCGGTCGACCGCGCCTGGGTCTGTGCCCACTGACCTGTCTGTGTCTCGTCAAGCCGTTTCGTGTGCCATGTCTTGTCTGTCGGTCTTTGAGTGTCTCGGACCGACGTTGACCGGTCAGCGGGCTGTGTTGACCGGTCAGCGCGCTGTGAGGCTGTTCGCTGACCGGTCAGCGTGCTGTCTGTGCTGACCGCGTCCGCCCGCCGCTGGCAGCCGCCGGCCGCTCAAGTGGTCGCTGAGCTCTCTGTGGCTGTGTTGCTGCTGCCGCTGTCCCAGCTGACGGCGACGCCGCCGCCCCCCGGTAACGCCTGCCGCGTTTGACGGACTGTGACAGTGTGACGGCCCGTGACAGACCGTCACGGACCTGGGATGTGTGGGCGTGTGACGTGTGTGTGATTGTGGGTCACTGTGAGATGCGACTGGTCGAGACGGGATGTCGGTCCAGTGTCCCAAAATAAGAATTTGTGTTGGGTGTCAGGGGAAAATTCCTCACCAAAAAAGGATAAGAGTGGAAAATTAATGGCCAGGCAAGGCCAAAAACGAGCGGAAAGGGTTCAAAAGTATAAATTTCCACACAAATTTTGTAGGGTGCAGGATGTAGATCGACCATCTATGCAGTTGCTTTTTCCTTGGTAGAACTTGAGTGGAAAATGGTCTAAAAAAGGTTGGGGATGAGAGTTAAAAATGATTTTCATTTTGATGTTGTTTCCCACCCAAATTGACTAGTTTTGAGACACTGTGTCGGTCTGAGTTGTGTCTGTTCTGAATGATTGGGAGAGTATCTGGATGTGTCTGGTTGTGTGGGGTATACATACAGTTTGACACCGAACGTTTCCAGCTCGGCGGCCGGTTCCTTTTTTCTCTTCTCTCCCCATGTTCGGGTAGAGTGGGGTGTGCCGTGACTCGTTCTCAGGAGTCAGACTGGTGTCGTCGGGGCTGCATGTCTGTCTGCTGTCCTATGGTCATTATGCATGCTCGTCAGCGGAGGCCACAGCCCGTGCACAGACAGTGTGACCGGTGGTGCAGCGGGCACCACTGGTGACCGGACCGCGGACGGTGGTGACGGGTGGTGCTGGTGGTTTGGTTTGGTTTGGGGACTCGGTAAACGGTGTGATATTCGCTTTGGTCACTACGGCGGTGATGGACTGGTCCTATGGGGGGTCTGAGGTCTGCCGTCCGGGGTCAGCCGCGCATGGTTTTGGTGTGGGGTGTCCCGTCGTCAACGGAACAAAGTTAAAGGAGTTGTAGAAATACCGGGTGTACTCGAGTCAGGAAGCTCGTGTAATAGCATAGTGTCCTCTTAAGCTCTTTTTGTCTATATTAATTTAAAAAGAGAAATTTGAAGTCACGCCTTTTGCAGACGAGTCTTGGGGTTACACTCTTCCTTTGATTTGATATGAAATTCTTTGTCTTCCCAGCCAAGATATGCTAACCTCAGTGTGTAACTGTGTAGTAGTCGGTATTGCTAACATCCATAATTAACACTGCAGCTTCTCAAACAAATTTAGATAAATTATCTGATGCCATCTTCTCTTTCATACCGCTTACGTATTTAACAAACCTATCAGCTCGTTTCCATATGCTCCTAATTAACCAGTAAAACGCCTTTTGGGCGAAGAACGAGCGAGCGAGATAGTGAGCCCTGCACGTGCGGAAGGGCGAGAGGGTGCTTCCAACGGGCTTGTGCAAAGCACCCTTCTAACCGGTTGCTAGCGGTGTGCCAAATTTGAACGCAATCGGCCCAGCCGTTCCTGAGATCTGGAAGCGGCATTCTGCACGTGCGCACGTGCAAACGGGGTCCAAAATGACTTTTGCACGGCACCCTACTAACTGGTCCCCAAACGTGTACCAAATTTGAGCGCAATCGGCCCAGCCGTTTTCGAGATCTGGAAACGCCCCCTGCACGTGCGCACGTGCAGTAGCACCCTAACCGCAACACATGGGAAAGCATTGTATGGTGGGTGCCTACCTGTATGCCAAGTTTCAGCGAAATCGCCCCAGTAATTACCGAGTTACTGAAATGGGAACAAATTTGGCACCTCTTATTGTTGTATTTTGCACGTGCACTGGGGGTGACCCACATACATCGAGAGTATCCTATTTTGGGTAGAAGGGATGCTGCTACCCTACAAAATATACCGCAAGTCAATCGCCCAAGCGGCTGCTGAGATATGAGCCTCTCAAAATCACTACTTTTGCAAAACAGCTTGAACACCCTTGACTTTTCACGTGGCACGTGCCACGACGGTCACTGAGATGTATCAAAAGTAGTCAGTTACGGGGTAGAAGGGATGGGGCTACCCAACAAAAAAGACCGCAGGCCAATCGGTCCAGCGGTTGCTGAGATATAAGCCTCTCAAAAGCGTTACAGGCCGGGCCGGGCCGGGCCGGGCCGCTCATACTGAGATTTTTCCGTTATATTGAAAAGACTCACTTCGCTCGCTGCGCTCGCTCGCTCGTAATTATTGTCCAAACAAATATGTCATCACTGAGCTGCTATGGGAGTGGCGATGCCTTAGCAGCGGAGGAGGATGTTGCTACATGAGCGGCACCAGCGCCTCCCCAACGCCCACGGTGGTGGTCGGGCGTCGCGGTGGTGCACAAACTCCCCCCCCCCCCCGCCTTCTGTGTGTATGTCTGTGTGGGCACCCGCACCACGCCTGTCGCACGGCACTGCCGGCCGGCCGGCCAGAGCTGGGCACCGACTCCGACACAATATCCGGGGCGGCCCAAATAAACAGTACTTGAACAAAATAAACATATGCTGTAAAACACCGGCTCGTGGTGTATTTAAAATTAGTGCCTCCACTAGACATATCCTGTATATAGACAGTTGGCGCACATTACTGAACGTTTGGCACACATTGATGACCAGTGGCCGTTGGGCGTTCTGTCGGATATTGTGTCGGATGGCGCGCTGTGGGCTGTGCCGGCCGGCCGCCCCCTCCCCCACCGCCCACCGTCTGACCCGCTGACCCCGGTGCACGCGCAGGTTCACGCCTGAGTCGTGGGCGCCGCGCGGACGCTTCTCAGAACGCTCGGGGCTTTACAACTTTTTGGGGCTGAATCCGTGCGCGGATGGCCAGCCGAGGTACGTACGGCGGCGCCCGTCGGTGGAAAGGCGATGGTGGTGGTGTCAAAAAGCCTCGCCAGTAGCATCAGCAGGCTTAGCTTAGCTTTATTTATCGTGAGAAAGCCACTTATCTGGTGAATGAATTGCAAATATGTGTGGTCTTAAATGAATCTATCGATCTTTAGCTTGCTTCTACGGTGTGATTTGAGTTACTGAAGTGGCTAAGTGGCATTGCTTTCCAGACACGCTTATTGTTAAAGCTTCTAGCTTTGAGCTTCTCGTCCCCATGACGGGCTGGTTACGGTACCCCGCAGTGCCGCCGCCCCGCAGCAGCCCGGGCTCCTGACCCGGGCCCCGCTCCCCGCCCGGCGCTGGCCACTGGGCCCTCCGGCCCATCTGCTCGCCCCCGCCCCTGTACGAACCACACCGCGCGTCGTTTCAGGTACAACTCGATGGCGTCTCCGCTGATGATGCGACGCCAGGACGCGGGCCGCGGTGGCGGCTCTCAGTCTGTGCCAAATGCCTCAACGTCACAGTCACACGGGTAGGTGGAGGCGCAGGCTGCGGACGTACCGAGATGTGTGGGCGGGGGGGGGGGGGAGGAGGGGGGATTTGGCCGTGTTATGGTTCGGGCGTGAGTTGTGTATAGGGTGCACAGAGTTAAGGAGTGTCGTGTCATTCGGATGCTCGTCTGTCTCACTTCCATATTTCGCCGCGCGCTTTATCGTATCGCTCTGTGTTGTGATTTTGTGTCGCATGATATGATGAGCGGCCGTTGTATGTGATACTTGCCTGTCTGTAGTTTCGGAGTTTCGGCCGAGTTATCCCGCGGTGTGACTCTCTGCCGTCGTGCTCCGCAGGTCTCCGTCTGGCCGTCCGCCGCTGGACCGGCGCGCCTTCTTCACCCCGGAGCCGCACCGGCGGCCGTTTCCACACCACTCACACCAGCCCATGTTCAGCCAACCGTAGCCCCCGCGCCGCTGGACGGGCTACCTCAGCAAGTTCAAACGGCCGCCCGCCACCTCGGCCGCCGCCCGGCGTGTCTCCGTTCGGCCCCCTACTTATCTATTTATTGACGCGCGCGCGCAGCGGTACGGCGACAGTGGCCGCGCTGTCACAGCGAGATTTTGCCTGTTTGTAGCGTTTAGTGTCCAGTATTTTGAGAGAAAGCTAGTCAATGATTCAAGCATTCTGATCAAAATGTATGCCTGCTGTACCATCGGTCCGTCTTGGTTTGGTTGCGCGCCTGGCGCCGGTCTGGGGCCGGCGTCTGCGGCCCGCTGGAGGCGTCTGGCGCTCCGTCAGTCCCTGGCCCGCCGCTCGTCCGTCAGAAGGGCGCTGTTCGCCGCGCAGAGGCCGCTCACAACCGTCCCATTTGCTCATCATCCCGGCCGGCAGACCGGCCGAGACGTCACTGCCGAGCGACCCGTGACGTCATCGTCGATCGGCTCGTGACGTCATCGTCGCTGTCGACGTTGCGCCGCGGCAGCGGATCGCGGGCCGAGGTGGCGAGGCCAGAGTCGCCACTCTGTGATACGATCTCCCCTTCCCTGACCTGCCCTGACCTGGCCTAATCTGAGCGCCGCCCGTCCCGTCCTCTCTCCGGTTCTCCCAGGTCCGCTCCCCTCCTCTCCCTCTGCCTCTGTTTCGTCTCCTCTCTCCCCTGTCGGCGGCGGCGTACATGTGCGTGTGAGTAAATGTGTGTGACGAGAACCGGCGAACAGGAAAGTGATCGTGCGCGCGATTTTCTAACCGTGTATTCTGAATAATAAAGTGCGACAATCCGAGCTGATGGTTTGGTCTCTGTTATGACTGACGTGACGAACTAATGGATCGTAGTAGGTAGAGTGATACGCTGGTTCTGTGCCGAGGGCGTCGATATTCGTGAAATATCTCTGCTCGAGTGACGGCCTTGGTCCAGATGCTCATGATGCATTTTGATCAGTTTTGCGGAATGAATAGGGTCTGAATGGCAAAGACGCACGAACCACCTCGACACGGACCGTTCATAGAGAGCCGCTGTCTCTCGCAAGAGCGAAGGCTCCACTTCACCTCTGTTCCTCTTTTCGCTCTAGGACGCTTGTTCACGTTCTTCATAACTCTAGTTTTGTGACAGCCGCTCCATTCCCTGGGAGACATCGGACGCGGGGGGAGGGGGGAGGGGCAGAGGCGGGGCTGTGTTTTGTACTGGAGTCGTGACCTTGGAACGGGCCGTTTGAGAGCCATCTGGCGCCTCTGGCGGGCGGCCGCCGCTGACGAGCAGCGGCCGCGCATCAGTAGGACCAAGGAGCGGCCGCGCGTCAGCGCTCCCACATGTGGATGGTGTGAGGGCAGTGCGGACAGAGGGGAGAAGTGGCCGGGGAGCAGCGAGCAGTGGCTGCCGAGCGGCGGAGGGGCCAGAGTAGAGCGCCGGGTGACGATGGCGCCGAGCCGGGACAACCTGTCGGCGGTGCTGCACAAGGCCCGGGACCTGCGGCTGGAACAGAAGGAGCTGCCCGAACCGGGACCGCAGGGTGAGGAGCGAGGATGGATGTTCTTCCGGGGGAGGGTTTGGAATGGTCATTCCATGACGGCTGGCTTGTAAGAGCTACTTACTTCTACTTTTGATTCGATCCGGGTCTTTTGACGCACAAGTCTTTTTTAGGTTAGATCAGGTCACTAACTGACATTGCCTCACGTCTGCCTGTCGCCTCTGCCCCACCGACCATTCTTTACCCTCTCCCCTCCTTGCTCTGCAGACGTGGTGATCCGGATCCACAAGGTGGGCATCTGCGGCTCGGACGTCTACTACTGGCACCGCGGCCGCACGGCGCGATTCGTCGTCCAGTCGCCGATGGTACTGGGCCACGAGGCGGCCGGCGTGGTGGAGACGGTCGGCAGCCAGGTCACCCATCTGAGGCCGGGTAGGTGCGGGACCGGCACTGCTGGGTCAGGGCGGGGTTACCCATCTGAGGCCAGCGGGCGGCACTGCCGGGTCAGGGCAGGGTCATTCACCTGAGACCCGGTGGGTGCGGGACGGACGGACGGCTCGGCTGACCAGCGCGCTGGGTCAGGTAGGGGACGCAGGCGGATACGTAGGTATGCTGAGTTTTCCAATGAAACTTCTGCCCTTATGCAGCTGTATTGCTGACCTGTCATCTGTATGTGACCTATGTAAGACCTCTTCCCTAGCTGGGTGGCCTTCTCTTTCCTATGACGTGACCTCTGGGACCTCGTTAATCAGCCTTTGCCCTCGCCGTGTTACTAGTGATGTCAATTTCAGAAAGCATATGTCCAATGTCTGTCCAATGTCCAATACTTACGTCGACCCTCCGTCCAAAAATGTCCAAGCCAGCCATTTGTCCAAAGATGTCCGACATCTACGCAATAGTTTACACTCAACACCGTTATTTAATTTGCTTAAAATGTATCGTTACCAGCTCAAAAGTGGTAATCTTATCGAAAGCTGAGCTTTCTTATAGCCAATCAATGTTAAACACGATTACTTTATAAAAATGTTGAGGTGTAGCAAGCGATTGTCCAAAGTTGTCCAAAGCCTGCTGTCATTGTCCAACCGAATTCCGAATTGGACATTGGACAAAATCGGAATTCCGAAGATTCAAGTTCCGATTGACACCACTACGTGTTACCCCTGCCTTCTCAATGTGGCCTCTGTCTATGCTATGTGACCTCTACCCTAGCTTTGACTTCACCCTCACTATGTGACCTTTCTATGACCTCTATCCCTGCTCTGTGACCTCTACCCTCTCTGACTTCTGACCTCGCTAGTCGCTCTATGACCTCTGCCCTCTCTCCGCGCCAGGGGACCGCGTGGCCATCGAGCCGGGCGTACCGTGCCGGCTGTGCCCCATCTGTAAGGCGGGCCGCTACAATGTGTGCCCGGCGGTGCAGTTCTGCGCCACCCCGCCCGTGGACGGAACACTGACCCGGCTGTACCGACACCCGGCCGACTTCTGCTACAAGTGAGAGCAACGCGACGGGCCGAGACGCCGTCTCAATGCGGCTGCCTCATGGGACATCGCCAGCTCAATGCCAATATCCAAATAGGATGCTTTTAGAGAGTGTTACAGCTACTTTGACTGGCCGTGAGCTTCCGTACCGTCCGAAATTCCTGTGCCATCCGCGGTGATCGATCTCCCGTGCTGTCGGCAGTGATATCCCTTGCCGTCCGCTACGGTCTCTCATGCCGTCGGCAGTGACCTCTTTTACCGCCCGCTGTCGGCAGGCTGAAGTGATATCCGTGCCGTCCACAGTGATGCATCGTGCCGTGCCGTCTGTCATCTGCAGGCTGCAATGATATTCCGTGCCGTCCGCTGTATGCAGTGATATCCCGTGCCGTCCGCTGTCTGCAGTGATATCCCGTGCCGCCCGCTGTCTGCAGGCTGCCGGACCACGTGTCTCTGGAGGAGGGCGCCCTCCTGGAGCCGCTGACGGTCGCCGTGTACGGCTGCCAGCGCGCCGGCGTCGGGCTCGGCTCACGGGTCCTGGTGTGCGGCGCCGGACCGATCGGAGTGGTCAGCCTGCTGACGGCCCGCGCCCTGGCAGCCGCCCGCGTCTGTGTTACTGGTGAGAGGGAAGGGAGAGGGAGAGGAGAGAGATCGAGAGGAAATCACTTCAAGTTGACAGGCGACGCGAGTCGGAATATGGATTATTCGAGTGCACTATCCTGCTTACTCTGTAATCCCACGACCCGGCTAATCGAACCTTTGTGAGCCTCAGTGACCCCACCTGACCTCAGTGACCTCGCTACACCTATGATTGACCTCAATGACCACGATGACCTCAGCTGTCTTCAATAACCGGCCTTGACAGCGATCTCGCCTTCCCTCTCTGAGCCCGCTGACCTCACCGTCTGCCCTGCAGACATCTCGCCGTCCCGGCTCGAGTTTGCCACCGGCCAGGGCGCGGATGGCACCGTGCTCATAGATGGCGCTAGTGAGGAGGAGCTGGCCGGCCGCGTGGTGGCAGCACTGGGCGGACCACCGACCGCCATCCTCGAGTGCTGCGGCGCCGCACCCAGCGTGCGGATGGCGCTCCAGGTCAGCGGGAGTGGGGATGCTTAGAGAGATTTGTGTTTGATGTGCAGGGATACAGATACAATGGAGAGGTTGTCCGTTGTTGTATGCTGAATGTTGGCATAAAACAAGGATAGGACTCACGAACTACGCCAGCGGTACCTAAGTAAAACGAGCCCCTACGTCGCTTCCTCTGCCCTCTCTTGCTCCAACTTCTCTCACTGCCTGTGTATATTGTGTCGCAGGCGGCGGCTCCGCGCGCAAAGCTGGCGTTCGTGGGTCGCGGGCCGCCCGACATGGACCTGCCCATGGTGACGATAACCGCCAAGGAGCTGGAGATTAACGGCGTCTTCCGGTACGCCAACTGGTGAGTGGCGGGGTGGATAGTAAGGATCTGAGGACTGAGGCACCCTGTGCTGTCTCAGAGGGTGCATACGGGAGCGTTATCGTGCACAGGGGTAGTGTAAAAGGGGACTTTTCCACTAGCGTTAACGGTCTCATGCATGAGTTCATGACTTGAAATAGGCAAATCGTGGAGAGAACTTATCAGAGGATAAACAAGATCCTAGACAGACGTTGAGCACTTACGAAGCATGTTTCTGTCCAGTCAATCATACCTACTTCTCTACCCTTGAGTCACCAGCCGCCTGCGCCCCCACGGCCCTGGTCCTCCCGTTTCTCGCCCCTGACCTGCCCGTCTCTGCCGACAGCTACCCTCTGGCCCTGGACCTGGTGGCGTCCGGACGCGTCCAGCTGGGTCCCCTCGTCACCCACCGGTTCACACTGGAGGAGAGCGAGAGCGCCTTCCAGGCGGCGCTCGACGGACGGGGCATCAAGATCATGATATCGGTGCACGACTGAGGTGGGGAGGACGAAGGAGGGGGAGGGGGTGACACTGTCTAGTTTTCTGATGTTTTAGGGTGGTTGGGGCACATAAGAAGGATTCTGGGTAGTCATAGGGACGTTCTGATAACACGGTGGCCTCGCAAGTATGTGTATTATGTGGGCAGCACTTCCGCTGAGAAAGCACCGCTGAATAATGAAGATTGAACTTATCGATGTTGCTCGCTTTAAGCCGCCCCGGATTTCGAGCATTGGAATGGCCGTCGTCTCCTGTTTATACGCAAATGATTCCCACAAAAATCGCGTTCAAGTACATACATGAATCGATGCCCTGCTATATGCGAAAACAGCCGTTCCAATAATGTTCTGGTTGTATTTTCAGTTCAGTGCAGTAGCAGCACGAGTCAAGCTACGTTTATATAGGTATGTATAGTGCTGGCTGGCATGATACTCGTACACGTGAACACACAAACACACTCCGCACACAGGCCTCTCCCGAAACTCGATGGCTTTCAGTACAAATATGGACACGGATACAGTCAATATAAATCTCCCGAAATGCAGCCCGCTACCAACCACCGCTACCGCGCGGGCACAACGCGCCGCTACTGCCATCTACCGGCGCCCGACGGAGCACACGACAGCGCTGCCACCTACCGGCAGACGCGACAACTGCGCCCGTAACGGCCACCATAGAGTCGAGCTAGATCTGTCTACAGCACGTGACAACACGGCGCGGAGCTCGCGCGCAGAACACCCACGAACACACTCTGTTTCTGACGGCGGACGGAGGCGCACCAGTCGGCCCTAATTAGTGATTCGGGGGAGGGTAGCAGCTGTGTTACGGTAGCAGCGCTACGGCTCAGCGGTAGCAGCAACAAACCAAGCCCGGAGCGGTACACGGCAGGGTTTCGTACAGAATAGACATGGAAGACCACACAGTCGCCGCCCCCGAGTCGACACGGTCGTCCTCAGCCACCGGACGGCTCGGCGCAACACAAAGTCCCTAATATCAAAACATGCGCGAAGAAAACCAAAACGTCCCGCCTCGTTCGTACGGTGAGAAACTATCGAAAACACAGCTAGCAGCGGCCATATCACCCAGAGGACTAGCATCGTGACAACATGGAATATAGGCTGCCGGCGGCTGACCGCGGAGCTGCGCACGGTTAGCTCTGAAACCCGCCCGTCAGAGCTGCGAACGACCTACTCTGAACCCGACCGTCAGAACTGCGAACGGTCTACTCTGAACCCGACCGTCAGAACTGCGAACGACCAACTCTGAGCCCACCCGTCGCCGGGCTATCAGAGCTGTGAACGGTCGATAAACCCGCCCGTCGCCGGGCTATCAGAGCTGCAAAAGGCCGATAAACCTCTGTTCAATCTAGCAACTGACGGCGCCAGGTGATATGATAAGCTCCTAACTGCCATGTCGCCTCAGCCCGCACTAAAACCGGACTCTGTGGCAGACGCGCCTACCCACACTCACACGGAGCACACAGCAATAACGGAACACACACGGCAGCCGCCGGGAACACACCACAATAACACAGTCAGGGACGCCGCAGAAACTCGCGACTAAATAGCTAGAAAACGCAGCCGTGAGCGGCGGGTCAGCGAACACAGGAACAACTGACAGCTGGGCTCACGGGCACACCACGGGCGGCTGATCACGTATAACGGGAATAACGCCTAGGTAACCTGTCAGAGCTAGACCATCCACTCACACCAGACATTAGTATTCTCAACGTCCAAAACAACTGCGCCACGCGGCCAGAATTACGACCGCTGGGAGCTGAGAACGTGACGAATCGACGTTAGAACACACGCCATGAGACGATACACGGCTGCCGCATCCACCGCGACCAGCGTCGGTGAAAGCTCTCACGTCAGGCCATCGCAGACCCCGAGCCAGTCAACATAGCCCCGGGAGGGGAGGGACGTGAGATAGCTGCTAGTAATCGTCAGCGTCACCGCGGGTCGTGCGAGGGGTGGACGAGAAATAACGGCGGCAGCTCAGCGGCTGACCCAGCAGCTGCGGCGGGGCTGGGCAGCTGACAGGGGCGGGAGGACACCGGCCTGGATGTCAGAGTGGCTGGAGCTCTCACCGGCCGCGCCGGTCCGAAAGCCGCTCACTCAACTACGCTCCAACGGTCTAACCTTTCAACATCCCTTCCTAATCACAAAGACATATATGAACACTTCAACTTACGGTTTTTGTCCCGTACTCCCCGGTTGACGCGACACGGCTCCATCCGCGTCCAACCGCCGGTGGCTCTCAGCTACCGTCTCCCAGCTGTCTCAGAACTCACGTCGTCTCACGTCTCCCAGCTGTCTCAGAACTCACGTCCCACGTCTCCCAGCTGTCTCAGAACTCACGTCTCCCAGCTACCTCAGAACTCACGTCGTCTCAGGTCTCGAGCTCTCGGAAGAAGCGGCGGCAGAGGAGTGCCGCGTTCGACGGCGGCCGGTCGGCCTCGTTCAGCTGTTGCCGGTCCTCCTCGGGAAGCTCCTCGTAGGCGCGCCGGTACTCGCGGTCGTACAACACTGAGAGAGGAGAGGAGAGTTAGGCATGCGAGAAACACATGTGCATCCGCGGGTAAAAACTGCGGGACAGGAACAGCGGTGCACAACGAACTGTCCACAAAACTGCTCGTATTCATGTTTAAATACCACCTATAGCCCACACTGGTATCTGGGCCACTCAAAATCACCCGATACCAGCTCATCTCATATGCTCGCCAAACAGAAAAAACTTCCATCATTCTCGAAACACCAGATAACATCCCAGAGGCCTCCAAACCATCTAATCGACGATTTCAACTTCCATTACCAACTATGGTTCCATAAGTCAACCCTCACTGCCCTTTTGTAGCAGCCCTCCACATCTCCATCCCATATCCACCACAACCCCGAGATTCAGTTATTGTCCTACTCACTGAGGTCGATGTTCTCCCTGCCCATGGCGGCGAACGCCAGGAACATGATGTCCCGGTAGGTGGAGAAGTGCTTGTCCCGCATCCGGCGCGCGCCGATGTTGGAGCTCAGCGTGCATAGCGCCGCGTCCAGCGTGGTGCACTGGACGCAGGAGAGTACTGACTGGACAGTGCTGTAACAGGGAGGACGAAGATTAAAGACATTTTCACTTCAGTTGCTCTTTGCACGTAGCATGCACACAGCAAAACGTAAAATCGACACACGCTGTTAGCCATCCATGATACGAGATGCAAGCGACTGTCACACCCCATTAAAGTATGTACGTCAGACGCTCTCTCACTTTTTGGAGAAGGCCAGATCGTCGGTGACGAGGGCGTCGACGAGCGATGATCGCAGCGGCGACTCCTTCCACTGGACGTACATCGGCTGCACAATCTGGGAGGCAAAGGGAAGAACAGGGCATGTCAGGGAGGGACGCATCACAAGTGTACGCAAGCCAGGCGGGGAGAGACGCAAAATCATATCGACTTAACCGTATGGTAAATGTAAGACGGGCGGTCCAAAATCCTGAAAATCCCTCCCAATGCAGCACAGATCCAAGCAAATGTCTCATCCCCTACCTCACCCAGCGCTTGTTTCCCTGACGCCGTCTCACCCGGGTGCATACCTACCCCACCCTAGGCCGTTCCCTCTCCCCATCTCACCTCGTCGTGCAGTTTGGGGTTGTCCCAGAGACAGCGGACCTGGACGTGTCTCCAGGAGGCCTGCTCCCAGCCGTCGGCAGGAGCGCCCCGCTCTTCCAGCAGCCGGCAGTGGAGACACAGGCCCGGCAGGTGGGAAGGCACACTAATCCGCTGCATGTACCACACCTGTGGGGACACGGGGAGGGGTTACCTACGCAAACGAGAACATCTGTCAAACATAAAGCTCCACAGTAGTACACGAGTAGGTACTGCACCCCCACCGCTTTTCCGTCACCAGTACTCGGTGCATTGCCAGTTCCCATTTCCCGTCCCTCACTGCATCCGATCAAAATATCATCATTTTCTACCGCCCGCCCGGCCTCACCAGGTTCCAGTAGATGATTGGGTGCTCGTCGACGAAGGTGGCCGCCGACAGACAGCCCTGGCCGTCGTGGTCCATCACATTCTCCACCTCTTTACGGAGCACCAGCGGACTCAGGTAGGGCAGCGTGATCGGGTCCAGCAGCACGCCCGCTGGGGGTGGAAATACACACGTCAGAGGTGCAACACCCATGAGTGTAGGATAAAAGCATTGATCAGAGATGCAAGTATCCGCTGCAGGAATCCGTCGAAGTGCAACACCCAATGCAGGGGATACAGTACACCAGTCAGGGGTGTAACACCCATTGTGGAGTTAAATACACCCACCAGAGGAGTAAAGCCCACTGTTGAGTTAAATACACCCGTCAGGAGTCTAACAGCCCTTGTAATCATCGTACACCACTCGGACCTAACCCTCACTGTCTGACCAGGGCATTCTGCAGTAAGGGACACAATTCACCTGCAGGCAGTTTCCTACCACGGTACCAGCGCGGCGGTTTGAAGCGAGCCAGCAAGGACACCGCTACGGTCAGACAGACTGTAGGCATGGTGACGAGAAATAGCTCACACTCACCGGTGCCCTCAGTCTGCTGGAGCTGCTCGGCGGCGCGCTGTTCGCGGCTCACGTTCCGGAAGTCACGCACGTGCACTGTGAGCAGCGGCACGAACGGCTTACGGCAGAACGGGCACCTGACGAGGAGACGGGGACGGACGGGTCAGACGACTCGGGACTGTGCAGGGTGGGTGTCGGTATCAGACGAATATCTGATCAGTTATATTCCAATATGACGCTTATCCAGTACGTTACAGTATAAGTGACAAGATCCTTCGAACTTCGGACCCATAATAAGCAAAATCATAATATTTTTACAAATATTTTTACACACGTAGGCCACGTCGTTCGTACTTCGCCTCACAGCTGTATCTCATGACAAACTAATCAGCTGCGGCTCAGCCGGGCGTCTGTCTCACTTTGTGTTGAGGTTGCTCTCCTCTGCCGACCAGCCGGCCATGATTTCCTCGTCGTAGACGGTGGCCTGGCACTTGTAGCAGCGACTGCAGGAGGTGAGCGCTAGCTCCACGGCCACTGGGGCGAGCGGCGCGGGCAGCGCGGGCGGCAGCGGCGCCGGCACCGCCAGCTCTGCGGACAGGGAGGGGGAGCGGGTCATGGTACTGCTGTACGCGGGCTCAGACATACATATAACGTCTAATTACACACACAGATGAGGTTCCAAGACACTCGTGTACTAGTTCCGTAAGGAACCCAATCGGTAACCGCGACGTAGTTTATGAATGGATGGAGAGGCAGCGACAGTAACAGAAAGGGAAAGAGACACGTCCGTCCGCCCGTTCGCTCTCTCTCGCTGGCGGTGTGCCACCTACCGGAGCTGGAGTGAGTGTCGTTAAAGAGGCCGTCGCACCAGGCCTCGGAGAAGCCGGGGATCACCTCTGCCGAGCCGGCGTGACGCATGTCGTCCAGCACGTCATCCTCGCCGATACTGGTCCTGATAAAGGGGGAGGGGGGGGGGGGGGTCGTGACGGCGCCGGGAGCCGGTGTGGTCCGGAGGGGGAGGGGGTCAGGTCTGGGGAGGGCGTTATTGGTGTCAGAAGTGGGATGGGTTACACATGTCTGTAAGGTGAAAACTACGGACAAAACTGACAGCATGCAATCAACTCCTTACGAAACAGAAACAGGCTGCTCTGCCGATAGGCGAATAACAGATTAGTAGATAAACTGGAACTTTACAAGACAGTCCAGGCGAACGGCTCAGATTTCCGACAAGGCCTGTAAATAGTTGTCCTGAATGGAAATTGAAATAATAGCCGTCATGTAAAGTTAAAGAGAAAAGGTTGACAGATACTTGGGTATTAACTAAATTGTAATGCTTACTGTTATTGTGCGACACTCGGTGATATTAAAAGACGAGCAAGACTATATTGGAAAGAAGCGAGAAAAGGGTAGTCCAAATAGCTGATGCTGGCATGCCTATTAGCTACGAGAAGGATAGAAGAGAACAATGCAGCACAGACATCACTGTGCCATCGACTACTAAACAAACACTGTAAGTCAAACCCCTGCGAATACAGATCTCTTCGCTTTGACACAGACGGCAGAGCGAATTGTTCGAGGTGGGGAGCTGTCATAAAATGAAGGACCTGCTACACAAATCATGTGTATGTGTTGTGTAAAACTGATCATAAGACCCGGGAGATGAAGTAACAAAACAAAAACCATCGAAGCAAACAAACATCAAACAAAGCCTGTCAAACTGGGTTCGTTAGCGCATATTTTGCCACACCTAAAACAGTTCACCATCAGGACACCAAAACATCTGTCTCACATGTTTCCCTTCTAACAACACAACTCTGCAAGGCATCAGCTCACTACAAATCAGCCCCTGTCATTGTCAATCTTCCCCGCCGCCCGGCGCAGGTCAGTGTGCGAATCTGTGCCCCAGTGACAGCCATGGACACATGCGGGTAGCGCCGGACCGGCCGGCCGGTCGGATAGAGCGGGACAAACAGCCATGCGGGGGCGCCGCGCGCGCGGCCGCTCGCCGACGGGTACCTGTACGCAGTGTACTGGAAATTCGACGGCATACTAGTGCCCAGCCTGCGAACCAGCACGGACTGAGGTGAGATCAGAGCCGCGCGCAGCCGGGCATACACGGAGATAGTGGAGCCAATCAGCCATTTACAGGGGGGGGGGGGCAGGTGTCTTAATGCCAAACACTTGTAAAACATTGAAATTAGTAGCAGAATTGCTTGTGGTGTAGTTTTTGCGCCAAGAAGTCCCAAAGGACCGTCATCTGATAGATGTATGGAAGCTTCATTATTCCAAATGGACTTATTGCCGTAAGTGTGGATGCGTCATAGCCAAACAAGCACACCGATTCATACGCTAAGCACACCACTTCATTCCATCAGAGCTCTCAGCGCAGGTGCGGCACTCGTTCATGTGCTGCCGGGAGCTCCGCCCGCCCGCCCGCAGTCGGTCTCAGCAGTCGGTACAGTCATGGCACCCGCCATCCATCGGGCCCCGATTGTCAGTTTGAACCCTTTCTCCCCTCCCCCGAGCCAGGCGGCAGTGCTCAGACCAAGGTGATCAGCCAGTCAGCCAGGAAGCGCAGTACTTAGCCAGGTTCAGCCTGACCGCGGTCGAGCAGTGAAGGTGGCAGAGGAAAACTTTCAACTTTTCACCTTCGTAGCCCAGTCACATGGACATTTTAACTAGAAAACGCGAACATATACACACAGACACACATACGCACAGAGACGCACACACATTCACTCTCACACGAACTCAGCCATGCTCTCCGCCTCGTTAGTAACTCACAGGCTCATGGTTTTGGTGAGCGCCGGACTCTGGCTAGACATGACCTCCTTCAGCTCGTCCAGCTTCTTGTACATCGAGGTTGCTGCTGAGCGGATGGAGCTGACCCCCGACTTGACCAGCTCGTGGTTCTTCAGACTGGCAGGGCTGTGGGCCACAACGGCGGCACAAGGTCACACAACGGTCAGCTACATAGCGAACACAGGGTGCTTGACAATGTAACGCAATTGATAAAACATCGGTAAAATCTACAGATGTAAGTGGAGATCGATGGAGCTGGGACATTCAAAACTTTCATCAGATCAAGTAAAACTTTGTCACTAATTCAACCATCAAGGTCAGGCAGAGACGTAAGTAAAAAATTTAGGCGGAATATTATTTGAGCATTGGGGCGATTTACCTACAGCATAAGGGAGCACAACAAGGTCGATATTCCTATCAAGCGATCAAATAAGAACAGCAAGAGGCATGCATCGCGAGAAAACGTCAACTGATACGGCGAAATTCAAGCACACTGCATGCCACAGGCTACAACATTCTGCCAGCAAGGCATACATCTTGCGAACGATCTTAAAGCAAAGTAAACTAACCAAAAGTGTTTCAAAGTGCCAAAAGAGCTAGGTAGCCCCTGGGTGCCGGCCTGTCTCCACACACGTTTCCACCGGCTCACCGAAGCTCAACTGACTCATTTGAGTCAGCACCAGCAGCCTAATGACGGAGGCTCCGGCAGATCGAGAGCAGCTCCCCAGTTCCCACAGCCATCAATTCACCCATCTGCGGCCACCCATCACTCTGGTCCAATACTCGGGTCTCAGCACCAGGCCATCGAAGCTTCCTTAGCTCCTTCGCCACCGTCTCCTCCTTTTTAGCCTTAAGAGCCTTGGGAGTTGAGAGCCTTGAGTTCAGACTACCCTGAAAGCTCACACAGACCTTTGCAGTTCCCCATCACTCACCCGAAACCATAGTCTCAGACTATCTACCAGCTCACCAAAGATGGATGCTCTCACGACATTCTGCCCTACTTTACCGAATCTGCGAATGCGGGCCAGCCCATCAAAGCTTTGCGCGGCTCCAGCTCACCGCAGCAACCCCAATAGCTCCAGACCACCACCATCTTACCGTAGTAGCTCCCATAGCTCCAAATCCGCTCACCATAGCGTTGCAACTCCGACAGCTTCTATAGCACCATAGCAGCCCTATAGCTCCAGACCACCAGCTGACCGAGGCTACCATAGCTCCGCATCAGCTGACGGCCGCTCACTGAGCCACCACTGGCCCGCCGCACCCACCTGTAGGTCTTCATGAGCCCGTCCAGCTCGGGTGTGATGGTGTCGATGCTCCGGCGGAACCGCCGCTCTGCCCGGCGCAGGTTGTACGAGGCCAGGTTGGAGGCCAGGCCTAGCTTACTACTGGCGCTGTAACAGGACATGCAGGGTGGCGACACACTGTCCGTACTGGATCTACCACACACACGAGCTGACGTGCTACGACTGCCAGGCGCACTCAATGCAGGGCTAGGCAAAATCAGGGAAAACGGCATGCTGAAATAATCGGTAACGGCTAGCAGTCGAGCGCTAAGCGAACGGTGTCAGGCAACGATCAAGGCAGACCTAGCAGTTCTAGCGTAGTGAAACGTTTCAACAGCCTATCAAGTAGATTCGGTCAGTCCATGAACCATGAACGAAGCGTTCCGATAGGTTCTTGCGTTAGTCGTGTTTAACCAGGATAGTTCAAACAAGGGTTCGACCCACCCGAGCAATTATTATCCCGATAAAATCAAAAGGCCTTTTTGTTAACTGCCCACCCATATATCACGGGTAAAGTTACTTACATCTAGGGTTATTATCCCAACAAAAAAGTAATCTAACAAGAAAGACCCTTTATTTATCACTGAATGATCAGACTGCAGGCAGAGTCACTTGGACATCCCACGCTGCCTATCTCCATCCAACCGCAGTCGAGCGATCCGTTACCACTGTAACTGCTCACATGCACGGTCCCCACCACGCCGCACCGGGCGCCGAGCCAGCCACCGCACGGCGCCACCGTACCTGAACGGGAGTCGGAAGCCGGCCAGCGCCGAACCGGAGCCCGGACTGGGCAGTTTGCCGTTCTTCTCGACCTGGTCGCCGGGCCGGTCGAACCCGTCCGAGAACGGCTCCGCCTGAGGGTACCAACATGGACAGGTGGTCAGATGGGGGTCGGATGTGGGGCGAGTAGAGAAGGCGCATGAGATGGGATATTATTCAAATAAGTGACATTCTAACAACACACTTCAATCATTCGTTCACTCAGCATACACGCTCTCGTTAACCCACTCCCTGCCTCACCCCTCCCGCTACGACCACCAATCTCATCACACCAACCCCACCCTCTCTCTCACTCTCACCTTGAAGAGACTGGCCTTTCTGCTCTGGTAGCTGGACGCCTGTGAGAGCGAGGCGGACAGGCGGCCAGCCGCTGGCGGCGTACGGGTCGGGCTCTCTGACAGGCCCAGCGCCCCCAGCGGGTCGTTCTCTGTGACCGGGGTGCGCGCCTGCAGACCGCACACCCCCAGCGGGTCGGTGGGCAGCTCCAGGCTGTCCACACTGCGCGTGTCGGCGCTGCGCTCCCGGCTGTCGCTGCGCCGCCGGTCGCCCTCGCCGCTGTAGTATTCGTTGATGCGCTCCTCCAGGCTAATGTCCTGACTGGCCGAGCGCGAGCGGACGGCCGGCGGAGCGGCCGGGGGAGGGGTGGAGGCTGCCGACACACCCCCGCCGGGGCCGGGGCCGGGCGCCGCGCCGGGGTCCCCAGCACCGGCCGGGACGCCGGCGGCAGCAGCGGCGACGGCGGAGTCCAGACTGTCGTGGCCCATCTCACGGAGACAGGCCAGAATCTGGTCATCGCCCGCGAAACTGGTCGACCTAAAACGCACAGAGAAAATAAGTCAATACACCGACGGTAATTGACTTAAATCACAGCTCCAGCATCCAGTGAAACCAATCTCAACCGCAGTATTGACAGTCTCTCTCAGTATCTCTAATATCATATACTACACCTCTAACAGCTAACACCACAGTCTAACATCACCAGAGTCCCGGAGACTCTCTCACCGTAGCAGTGAGATCTGCTGGTGCTCGGGCGTCTCGCTGCAGCTCAGGTGTCTGGCCCGCAGCTCCTCCTGGTGTGGCGAGTCCAGGGGGTGGCGGGCGGAGGCCGGTGCCGCCGAGCCGCCCGCGCTGCTGCCGCCGCTCAGCGGGCCGGCAGAGGGCGCGTCCTCCGGACAGGAGACCATCAGAACGCCGGCAGAGCTGTCATCTGAGAAGGGGGGGGGGGGCATGAGATGCAGATCCAAGCTATATGAGACCTCAGTTCCGAAAATAAGAACGAAACGGCAGTAACAACACTTGTCAAGTCACAGACCACACAATCCAAACAGCAAATAGCAGCCATTGACTCCCTATTCACTAAAAACCGTTGGCAAGACTGCGACCTGCGGACCATTTTCATCAACTTGGTCCCAGAGTTGCGCTGGTGTCACCGCCGCCCTTCCCACTCCGCCCTCCCCGCTCACTAACAATTTGTCACCGTCACCCTCCCACTTCCCAGCCCACTCAGTCCATCACAGCCTCCATCCCCGCTCTCCCACCCCCACTCACAGTTGGTCACTTGCGGCGAGCCGGGTATCCGCGAGCCGGACGTCTTGACGATGCTGCCCACCCTCGACCGGAACCGGTCCGACTCGGAGAAGTCCAGCCGGCCAAAGTTGAGCGCGCGCGCCACTGAGGGACGCGCTGGGGATGAGGGAAGGGAGGTCAGATCAGGAGGGGCGAGGTAGGATCACACGGCACTGAGGCTCCGCCTGATACCCGGTCAAATCATGGAAAAACTGTTTTCGTTACGTAAAAATAAGACGTGTCACGTGAATCACATAGCAATTTCCAGATAAGCCGATAAAACAACCCCTTACCCGGATCCATCACACTCTAGTTGTGATGGTAACGTAAACTCACCGGCTCGTCCGTCTGGCCGGGAGGACTGTGCCGAGCGACTGCTGCCCAGCGAGGAGCACGACGCCCGGTCCGCCTCTGTGGACACAGCACAGAGGTACAGACGATCAGAGACAGATGGGGCCGGGGTAGATCCCAGTTCAGAGGTAGAACTGGGAAGCAAAGCGCACATCTGATGACACACTATCTCGATATCAGAAAGGTGGGCGGGACACAGGAGGGATCTGCCACCTTGTTATGCACGCAGCATAGTGTGACCGAGCGACTGGCTGGAGGAGGTTGTGTAATGTATACCCGTACCGTACCTAGCATGGCATGACCCAGCGACTGGCTGAAAGCCGTGTACCGCACCTAGAACGACGGGCCACCGCTGTATCACATACCTAGCATGGTGTGTCCGAGCGACTGGCTGGAGGCGGCCGGGTCGCCGCCGTATACCGTACCTAGAACGACTGGTCGCCGCCGTGAACCGTACCTAGCATGGTGTGTCCGAGCGACTGGCTGGAGGCGGCCGGGTCGCCGCCGTATACCGTACCTAGAACGACTGGTCGCCCCCGTGAACCGTACCTAGCATGGTGTGTCCGAGCGACTGGCTGGAGGCGGCCGGGTCGCCGCTGCCCAGCTGGGACGAGGAGCCCTTTCTGTCGGAGCGGCGCGGACCGGCCCGGAACTCGGCCGCCGCCAGTACCACGTTCCTGTGGGGAGACAGATAGGGGGCCAGTCAGACACAACCGGTGACACAGAAAAGGAGACAGAAAGGCTCTCGGATTAGATTGCAGCTGTACCTGAGTTTGTTCCAGAGGACCATGCGTACCTGGATTTGTTACATTCCAGAGCTGGGGCAGTGCACACCTGAATTCGCTCTGGACTAGTCTACCTAGCAGCAGCGTCTGAGTTTTTCTATGAGGGACCAATCGTACCTGAGTTTGCTCCAGAGCAGGCGTCCCATGGCGATGGTGTCGGTGGGCCACTCCGACTCCAGCACCGCCTTGTTGTAGTAGCCGTAGGTGAGCGCGTTCGGGTGGATGCCCAGCTGCTTCATCTTGTAGAGCACCTTGACAGCCAGCACGGGCAGCTGGTGCTGACCGCACAGCTGCATCATCACACGGTAGCACACCTGTGTGTAACAGAACACACAGCGGCGTCAGCACACAGCTGTATCATCACACAGCAGCACACCTGTGTGTAACAGAGCACAGCTACATCAGCATACCGTGGCACAGCTGACAGCACACACGGCTGATGTGGCACAACACCTACAAAATGGTAAACAATTCTTCGCATTGTAGGTACACTCGAGGGCAGATTGATGTTCCACCACTCCCTACCCATCGGGCTCCCATGGCTCAGCACTGGCTGCTGCCAGTGGCAGCACTGGCAGCACTGGCACTGGCAGGCAGTGCTGAGCAGTCTGAGGGCAGGCAACACTGGCAGCAGCCAGTGCTGAGCCATGGGGGCCCGATGGGTAGGGAGTAGTGGAACATCAATCTGCCCCCGAGTGTACCATGTCATCCTGCAATGCTTTGTTCATAGCTCCAACTCACCATGTTCAATATAGTCCAATTATTTTCCTATCCCGTGCCCCGTTTTCCAATTCCGTTTCTCACCCACCTCGTCGACGCTTTGGTTGAGTATTTTCTGCATGACCACCATGATCTGGAAGGCCTCGTCCATGGCTGCCTTGCTATTGTCACACACCTCCACGTAGCTGGGCAGGTGGACGAACCATAGGCTGCAGCACAGACACACGGCGTGAGGAGGCTAGTCTTCGTACACATCCTGCAAACGGCTCAGTCACGACGGCGGACGGCACGGCACGAGATATTCAGTACCAAGTCACGGAAATCCCGTATTCCCCGTTCATCAGGGCGCTCACCTTGTCTGACCAGGCCGGACAGACTTCTCTAATCATTTCAGCATTGCAGTACGACTTCAAACCTCCCAGTAAGCTTACGGCATTAGCCGAGACCTCCTACCTCAGCCTCTCCTCACCCCATCCCTCCTTTCAGCCACTCTGACTCCCTCTCTCCCTCTCTCCCCACGCCACCCTCCCGTCCGCTCACCTGAAGCACGTTCCGACCAGGTAGCGGGCCCACAGGGCCGGCGTCTCGGCCTGTTTGAGCGCCTGTTTGCGGGCCGACATGACCTCGTGTTTGGTGCGGCGCACCAGCGGGGAGGGCGCCGCCGCGCCCGAGGCCGCCAGGCCGGCCAGCTGGGCGGCCGAGCCGACGGCCGGCAGCGGACGCGGCAGCGCCTGCAGCGAGGTGGCGCGCGCCAGGAACAGCTCCCGGTGCAGCTCTCCAAACTCCTGCCGAGGGGAGGAGCAATTAATGGCAGGGTCAGGAACAGCTCCCGGTGCAGCTCTCCAAACTCCTGCCGAGGGAGGGGAGGGGCAATTAATGGGAGGGTCAGGAACAGCTCCCGGTGCAGCTCTCCAAACTCCTGCCGAGGGAGGGGAGGAGTTAATGGGAGGCACCAGGAACAGCTCACAATTACTCCTCCGGAGAGGAGAGAGAAAGAAGTTAACGGGTGAAGTAAGACATAACTCACAAAACTCCTGCCGAGGGGAAGGAAGGAGGTTTGGGTCAGAACTCAGTTTGATGAAGATGATCGGGTTAGGCGAATGACCACTGACTGAGAAGGGGTCCGTTATGAATGGGTAACGAGGTTAGCGACATTTGCATACCATTTTGCTCACAACGCGTCGATGTGAAATAAGCAATTCTGTCGACTCATTTTACTAATCACTTCAAACGTGGTAATGCATTCGAAGAAATAAGCTCACAGAGTGAAATCAGTCTTTTTAAATCACGTTGTCCGAAAAGTGGAATGTAAGCACCCGAACTCACGTGGTAGACAAACTGCCTGCCCTCCATCTGTTCCGGGGGTGGCACAAACACTGTCCTCTCGCTCTGAGGGGTCTCCGACTCCAGCAGACGGCAGTCCGGAGAGTCCAGGTCCTGAAACATCGAGAGGGGGCACGTCAGAGTAGCATGTGACGGGTTCAGTCTGAACAGATGTGGTTGATCGAAACCGGGATAGCTTGCTTTGAAACAGAAATCATTGAAAACAAGATGCCGCTGTCAAGAAAGCCCAAGTCACATCTTATCAAGTAGAGAGGCATTTACGATTGCGAGAGCCGCCAGCCCGGCACTCGCCTTGGCGAGACACTCGTCGAAGAAGACGTGGTAGGCGTCCTTGTCGGAGACAAAGCTGCGCTCCTCGATGAACCTGATGAACGACTGCGTCGTCGTCAGCATCTGGTAGAACGGCTGGTACGCCTTGTCCCGAGACTTGAGGAAACCTGCCAACGGTAACGGCCGGGGGTTAGAACTACCAATTTTAGACTGCTGGTACGCCTTGTCCCGTGACTTGAGGAAACCTGGCAAGAGTGGCAGCCGGGAGTCAGTAATATGGACGATATACGGAAATGTTATGGCTGTCTTCAGACAGCAAGGCACTTAAAGTTCTCTTGCATATCAACACTGATAATTATCAACTAAGCCTTCTCAGAAGTCCTAAACCAGCACTATATCCTATCCAAAAAATATAAATCCCCCACTCCTCGCTCGTTCCCATGGTCAGCGCCCAGGTTGGCTTACCGTCTAGGTTGAACAGCGAGCTGGGGTCGGTGGTGCCGGTGGTGGGCTTCGACTTGATCGGCTTCAGGTACGCCTGGTACCCGCGCAGAATCGTAGCCATGAACCTGCCGTAGACGGGGTATCATAAGCTCCAGACGGTGAAAGTCGGAGCTCAGATAGAAACTGGAACTGTGATAGAGCTAAGAGAAGACGTAAAAAGAATTCGAAACCGCACATCCATCAAAAGTCATAACGCAATAAAAAAACACAGCTTGGTAGAAGTCACGGGTCTTTTCATGCTCTATTTTATGGAAAAAACACCCATATACATAATACAGCGCTGCCATGATGTGCATTGAGCAGGGCCCCACCTGAGGAAGGCCTCCTGGATTTCGATCTCCAGCTGGTGTTCCATCCTCTGAACCCGGAGGTCCATCTCTGGACTGCCTCCCTTCACCTGACCACGGGGAGGGATATAACACGTTAGAAAGGAACGCAGTGAATCACCATCTCCGGGCTGCTTCCCTTCGCCGGACCGCGATGGGTACAGCATATTGTCAGAAGGGCACAGCCACATGATAACAACACATCACGAATCAGTAGCTAATAAAAATATCCGGAACTAATAAAATTTAAAATACAACATCTCAAGTTGAGACCCTGCCTGTCTCAGACTGATGACATGATGACAACACAAGACTGATACCACAACCAGTCAATCATCATAAAATTTCACGTATCTCACCCTTTTCCTGGACATGGAGTACAGTCTGTCGAACACGGCCTCCAGCGAGTGGCGCAGCTGCTTGCAGGCCTTCTTCGGCAGCAGCTTGGTGACCAGGTGACGCTTCTCCTCGGCCCTGTGAGCGTACGGTCGGTAAGAAACGGGTTAGACGAGGTCAGAGCGCGCGGGGACGGGCGTGGACCCCGTGTTCAAGAGATTAGTCTGCCAGGCCTCATCAAACACAGAGTCAAAGAAAAATGTATCAAAATGCGTTAGACAAAACAGCAAAAGCCTACACTGCTGAACTGATGATCCAGCGTTATGAGCTTTGACATAAGCTAAATTCGACGCTAAATGGACCTTCAAAATAACAGCTAGCATGAATCTGTTTTCTTCATTTCAGTCACAGCCCTGACCGTGCCGTGCGCAGTAGATACTCACACGAAGATGGTGTTGGTGTCGAGGTCAACGCAGGTGACCTCTGGCGGCGGGTCGTACATGTCGAAATACCGACTGTCGAGACCGACCAGGAACGGTACGGGCGCAGACAGGATGTCGGCCAGGCCCAGCGGACACAGCGGGATGTACGGACACTGCCACAGGCACGGGAAGATCATCTGCAAACACAACACAGCGGGGTGTACGGTCTACGGACACTGCCACAGGCACCGGAAGATCATCTGCGAACAGAACACAGCGGGATGTACGGACACTGCCACAGGCACGGGAAGATCATCTGCAAACAGAACACAGCGGGATGTACGGACACTGCCACAGGCACGGGAAGATCATCTGCGAACAGAACACAGCGGGATGTACGGACACTGCCACAGGCACGGGAAGATCATCTGCAAACAGAACACAGCGGGATGTACGGACACTGCCACAGGCACGGGAAGATCATCTGCGAACAGAACACAGCGGGATGTACGGACACTGCCACAGGCACGGGAAGATCATCTGCGAATGGATAAAACCGGTAAGTGATGACCGTCCTACACAAACAAACATATGAATCAGGCAGCGCCACGAGATGCCCCTAAAATCGGAACGGGCAATGTTCATCGATAAACCCATGAGACTCGACAAAGATCACCAAGTAGAATGTAGATTCATCGTATGCTTGGGTACTAGCTAAAAATAACATCATCCCCAATTTCCACACGCTGATCAGAATAGACCATCACAACCCCAGCCATCTGATTACCATGGAGACGGCCTCTGAGGGTACCCACTTACCATGGAGACGGCCTCTGAGGGGGTACCCCCCTCCCTTACCATGGAGACGGCCTCGGCCACCCTGGTGAGTACGTCCGGCCGCAGGCTGTGCAGCAGCAGCTTCTGCTCCGTCAGCGTGAACAGCAGCACCAGCAGACTGTTGTCCGGGCCCAGGTTCTTCAGCAGCTTACAGAAGCTGGCGCCGCTCTGGGGCAGTGGCGAGAAGTACGGCTGGGCGACCACGATCGGTGCCCCGCCGTCCAGCTGCACGTGCACGTACGGCCGAGCCACGGAGGGGAACGGTACCTCCAGCAGGATGTGGCTGATGTACCTGGACGGGGAAGAGGCGGGCGTATGTGAGACTGTGTGATAATGTGACGATAGCTACTGGTCTAACCAACAGGCATCTGAGCACAGTCCTGGGTTCATTTGGATTGGTGAAAGGCAAATCTAGGTTACTCTTTACGTGCAGTGTTTGATCTCCCCCTTTTGACCATCCTACTCCGCACCGAGGTCCCTCCCTCCCTCTCCTTACCCCACTCTGCCCCTCTCCCCACTCCACTCTCCCTCTGCGCACCTCTCGAGCGGAACGGACGTGGGTCTGCCCGAGATGGCCGTCTGGTGCAGAAACTGCAGGAACTTCTCGAACGTGTCGAAGAAGGGCCAGTGGGAGAGCACGCCGATCGACTTGTTGGCGTTGACGGAGATCTCTGAGGGGTGGTGGGTGTCGATGCCCAGCTGGAGGCGCTGCTGCTCCGTCAGACGAGAGTCCGGGTAACGCTCGTAGAACGTTATGGAGCTGCCGTACACCTGGGGCGGAGAGGTACAGAGTCACTGGGAGTGGACTCGCCGAACAAGCGGTTCACAGTTTCACACATCGAGAATACTCAGCAGGCGACCGCATTACAGAAATGGCTGGAGGACAAACAAAAACGTTGATATTCAGAGCGACACAGACACTGCCATTGAAGAAAAACGAAACAATCCAACTTCTACTCAACAGAATCGGAAAATCAATAAAAGGCAACTGGTGACACGAATAGCAATAGAAACACAAGCATCCCGTTTCCACCAGCAACAAGTTATCAACATGTCATATTGCATGCCGTAGCGTAACATCAACGCTGCACTAAAACACGTGGTAAAATACCTCCGATAACCATCCTATTATCTATCGGCACGTTGTTGAACGATGAGTGGAGCCGGGCCCGAGTGCTGCCCCCGCGGCTGATATCGCCCAGACACCCCGGTGAGGGGGCGGCTATCGGTCACACACCTCTATCAGACGGGTTTTACTACAGGCCCCACGGTAAGCGGAGAGCGCTGTCGGCCAGTACACGACACCGCGCGGGGTGGGTGATAACCCGATACACACCAGGAAGTACCATCCGAAACCGATGCCGCCACGGAGTTTTGGGAACGCAGGCTAGCTAGAATAATTGAATTCTTTGGAAACCATAGACGAAATTTAGAATTGTGAAGAACTGGCAAAACTGCCTCATTATTTCTGTTTCAACTTTGGACGGAGACATAATGACATTCAATATTCCACCACCGCGTTCAGGGTTCACTCGTTCAATCATTTTAATCAAAAATTTCGTGACACATCGAAATTATCGGCGCCAGCACCGCACGCCCGACTGACCCGAACTACAGCCGACCAGTCCACCAAATAAACAACGAGCCAATAACTGCCGCTCGGCAGACAGCCGTCAGCCGCACAGGCAATCACCACTCGTCGAAACTCAATTTCGCCCAATCCAGCTCGGCGGCGGCGTTCTCACCTTTTCCGCGCCGTCTGCCACGGTAAAAACGAACGTCGAGAAGACGGGTTTGGGCGTGGCGGCCTGCGAGGGCCAGCACTCGACTGTGGCGCCCATGGGCAGGCAGAACATGGGCACTGACTCGGGCAGCGGGAAGTAGGGACGGTCCTCCAGCGGGAACCGGCCCAGCAGACCTGAGGGAGACATAGGCAGCGGTCAGAGCGGGGACGTACCACTTGTGTGCGGAATTAAATAGTACGACGGGAGAGGTGATAGAACATATGAAGAGTTGCTGTGTTCCAAAAAAGACGATTAAAACATTACGTTCCCGAATGACATACAGAAATAAATCCTCAATAAAAAATAGATGAAAGGAAACATTGCCACAATTATAGACGGCGCACCTGGCTTGTAGACGACCCTCGTCGGTTGTCGCATCGACTTTTTGTAGCAGATGTAGACGTCGGATCCGACCATGCCCTTGTTGAGGGTCTTCGGTATGATACAGTAGGTGTGCGGCGGTACCTGGAGGGACGGTAATACAGTCACTACTCCGACTCAGGAGAGAGACATGTCAGTCACGATCCGGCAGACATGGGCCGGCGTGCGGCGCCGACCCATTGTGGGCATTATTAGATAAACGAGGCGGATCACTGACTGCGCGTCACCGGGCTGATACATAGAGTCAACAGGAAGGGAGCACGGCAGCGGGGGCGGATAACGGGGCGGCTAGCTCACTCAATTTCGTATCTCTGCCGCGGCAGCCGACTAGATACTCTCAGGCACATCGGCAGGGCAACAGTGACCACACACGCACCGCATCTTGACGGTACTTGTCAGAATGATGATCTCTCTACATTCCACTTGAAAACATAAGCTTATCTTTCATCTCACTACTACAAACGGGCTTACCGGCCTCTTGTACCATTAATAGTGTCAAAAACCCTGTCTCGTCTAATCCCCACAGTCCACCGTTTATGAACACGACTCTTGTGGTATTCAGCTGTCCATGACCATGCCTTCCGTTAACACAACCGTTTCGTCGATTAACATGACGTCTCGTCTCACAAAAATGCTTTCCCCTTTCCGTGATCATAACAAAATTCACACCTTTACACCTTTTAACACAATTCCTCCTTTCTCCGAAGATTAGCCCGGGCAGCTCTCTCACCTCGCCACTTCTAACCCTGCTCACCCGTTCCCGTCTCACCTCATCCTTAGTGAGCACGATGACGCAAATGTCTGTGACGACCAGCTCGTTGCAGGGCGAGGAGTCGGACGCACGTCTGTACGTGATGTACGTGCGCGCAGTGCTGTTGTTCACGTTGGCTATCCGGCCGGTGGGAGTGAACTCGACCACCTGCGAGTCGGGCATCACGTACTCCTTGCCATCGTACAGCACGCTGAGGGGAGAGAGAAACGGTGAGACGCCCACTGACGAAGGAAGGAAGGGGGGGGGGCAAGGAAGGAGATAGAGGAGGCACAAAGGGGGAAATACGAGGATAAATAAAACAAAAAGAAAATAGAGACTCCCGGGTTCTGTCGCAGGGAATCATGAGTCAATCGGAGTTCAGCCCCCTCAAGGACAAGGTGCCCAAATAACGATGGTTTACGACTACGTTACTGCCAAAATCAATTAATAGAAGCCGGCGCTAAGCAAAAACTAAAAAGCCTATCAAACATCCACAAAAAAGCTGAAACGTTTAACCAGGATATCAGCGTGACGGCACATGACGATTGCGAATATTTTTATCGGCGAAGTTTGCTACAATACGCTTGAAGAATAAAAAACTTTACCTACGCAACACATTATTAATGTCAGTTAAGAGTAGCGAGATTTCTGTGTAAATTGATTCCTTTGAACTCGTAGCCGTGACCCGAAAGTTCAAGCGGTTTCGATGTGAGATCGGACTTTTCCCGCAGGCGTCTCCTACAATAGACCTAGAGAGTGTGGGTGTCCACAGCGCGGCGGGTCACCCCATCTGACCCACCAGACCACGGGAGCGTGAGTGTGGGTGTCCACCGGCGGGGAGGGCCAATCCAATCTGACCCACCGGGCCCCCGGGCCCCCGGGAGCCGGACGTCAAACGGCAGCCGCCGCCGCCGCCCGGCTCATCCGACCGAATTATACAATCAGGCCCCGAAACGCGGCGCATCCGCCGAGCTCCCGCCCGGCGCGGCCGGCTGGGGCCGCCCACCCGGCTGTATCAACTCGGCACGAGCCCGAGTCAAATTACTGTTATTTAAACAGCGGCGGCCTCGGGTGATGGCCGGTCGTCTGCAGTGGTAGATAATGCCGTCAGGAAACCCGGGCTCTGTCGGCCGGCCGTCTCCCAGCAACGCTACCACACGTTACCAAACAGTCAGCCAGCTGGGCGGTCCGGCGGCCGCACGACACAGCGTGGAAAAACGGGCGGACCGAGCACGCCGGACGCGGGAGAAAGCGGCCGATCCCGGAGTCATGCCGCAGGAAAACGTGCAGCGTCGGAGCGGCAACACGTCGGACCGCCGCCGCTGCTCGGTCAGCCGGAGATAGCCCTCCCGGCCGGCTGCCATGGAGTGGGACCCAGCTCCGATTGAGACAGATCACATCAGTGACGACATGACTGACAGTATCGAATTTCCAGCCGAGCCGCACGACTTGTCTCAGCTACAGGCGATTGAAAGGTATCAACGCGACAGCGAAGCGCCGCGTCTATTGCGTTTCCGAGGTCAGCCGGGAGCGGTGCGTCAGCTCACGACGCAAAAACAGAACAGAACCGGCGATATCGATTAATCAAACGCTCCGACAGGCTGCTCGCTGACGGGTTCCGACAAAGCAGGGCATCTCTTTGTCGGTAAAACCAGCGATGGACATACTATTCTAACATGTCATGCTTGTATATTTGTGTCTATTTGTGTACTCAGGGTCACGCGCCCACCCCCGGCTCCGAAACTAACCCGATGTCGACGAGCGGTGGCTTGTCCCAGCCGCGTTTGTAGCAGAGCAGCACCTCGGGACTGCGGATGCTGCCGTGGTTCAGGTCGGCCGACAGACCTGGCGACACGGACACACGCTGTCAAACGTAAACACAGGCACGTTAGCTGCAGAGCCGCCCCCTGACTCACAGCCAGACGCCGGCAGACGGAACACATGTGCTCAGTGAGGGCACATAAATGCACATTATGCAAATACGATGACATCCCGCTGCATTCCAAGGCTAGCCAGTTATGGTCGTAAGCCAGGCTATCTCATACCCGTGAAATGTCAAACCCCGGCAGAACGTTGATCTTTTCTTTTTACCCTTCTGACATCTGGTCCAGAATAATAACGTGATAGGTCACCCAAAAGAGCCAGCCATCCATCAGAAAAAAAGGTACCAGCCCTCCCCATAATGCACCCTACCCTCTGCCATTCTCCCCCGGTCCCGCGGCCCCGTAGCGCGGCCACCGACCTGTGGGCGTCTTCTCGATGCACCGGTAGCCGGACGGCACCGGCTCCTCGGACGGAAAGATGACGGCCACGTCCGTGATCGGCGCATAGTTGTGGGACGGTTTGAGCGGAAAGTCCTCGAGCGGCGCGTCCAGCTCGCACAGCTGCTCGGGCAGCCCGCAGTGGATGAAGTAGTCGGCTACCTGGCGGTCAGGCGGCACGTCCATGGCGACGACCGAAGGCCGGACGCGGCCGCGTGCGCACTAGCGACACCGCCTCACCGAAGGATGCCTTGGTGGCTAGATCCGGTGAAGACTGGATGACCCACAGCCAAAAACTTCTGCAGTCCCTCACTGATGAGAGGGCATGGTGTTGAGATTCAGGAGAAAGCGAGCTGAAACAGACAAATGGTAAAATACCATGTCAGCACTGCAGTGTGGATCATTGAATGCTTTTACATTAGCAGAATTAACATAATTACTAATGTAATATGAGTTGTGAACATTGTTAATGAGACTAAAAAATATTCTTGCAAAACAACATTGCAAAATGTTAATATGCCTTAGTGGACTGATTTATCCATAGATGTCACAATGCATTTTATTCACTGTATTACATGATTTTCTTTAAAGATGTACCTATTACAAAATGCAGGCTTTTCAACTCAAGGTAAAATTAAATATCCATCTGAATAAACGACTCCATAATTCCCTTCCCCTACTAAGGACATGCAAACTCATTCCAAAGTAAATATTGTTCAAAATTTATGAAAACATTCACACACCAACTGACCCACCGCCACAATGAGTATGTACATGTAGCAGGTATGTGTATGTATATTATGTGTATATATGTATGTGTTATGTGTATGTGTATATACTACATACACAATGAGTGTATGTAGTAGTAGGGTGACCGGTTTTGCAAAAAGTTTCGAAAAGTTTTGCTCCCCAGGTCTAATCTAACGTATTTGAGGGTGCTGATCACGAATCCGGCGGAAAAAATATAAAATTCGATTTTTTTTTGACCGCCCCGGCTCTTTGAATATTTCCGGTTTTCTCAATTTTTGCATGTTTTTGAATAATATGATGAATGTAATGAAAAAATATTAACAATGTATCGCTAAATGCATGTACCAGTCGATTCGGCATACAGCGGCGTCGAAATCGGCACGCCGCCTGCTTCACCGGCCTCGCAGGAAAGCATAAGGCTCGGGAGGTTTGCGTTAGTTACCAGACTCTCCATAGATGGCGCTGGCGTAGCCGCCCGCCGGCCGGTCGTTGCCGTGCCGTTCACAGCCCCGGCGGTCACTTGCGACCGTCGTGGTCGTTATGCTACGTCTATCAAAGCACGACAGAAATGCTCACTTCATTTTTATGTTACTTCAGACACATTTTAGACCTAATGTTGAATTGGATAAATGACTATCGTGCATTGGCGAAATAGTGGAGTGCGCTCGGGAGCCATTTACAATAGCGAGGAACGTAGGTGGATTGATCTGAGTAACACATGACACTGCGTTCACTGTTGATATGAAGTTTATTCACACTATGTAGTCGGGTGACATGAGAACAAAGTGACTAACATACCTTGTGTGCGACACATGGATGAAGCTAATGCTACTTTTTCATTTTGTTTCGGTAGGCCCGTTTGTTCAGAGCGTAGCCGTCCTGTCGGTCTGCGCCTGTTACAGCTGTGACTGATTCGGTGGTCAGCTTTACAGCCCTTTCGGTGGATTGGGTATGGCAGGAGACCCCCGTTTTAAGGGGAGTCTGTAGAAAGTCGCGCAACTCATCCTCGCTCATGTGCCGTACACAAGGGGGCTCAATGTCTCGGCCCTCGTCAACCGCTCGCTGCACGTTAACCAGTTCCATATAGTTGTTCGCTTGAACGTTAATTTCCGGCAGCCGGAAGTGCCGAATGGGCTGCTGCTGTGGCGGTGGGGGTGGCAGCTTTGGCGGCGGTCGTGGCGGCGGTGCCGGCGGTGGTGGTGGTGGCCGCCGCCGTTTCAGACGCCGCTGCTGCTGTTGTGGCGGCGGCGGCGGGGGCGGCGGTGGTGGTGGCGGTGGCCGCCGCCTCTGTCGCCGCTGCTTCTGCTGTGGCGGGGGCGGGAACGGCGGCTGCTCCTGTCGCTGCCCTTTTTGACGAATGCTCCGGATTATGCGGACTGCATCTGCCCTAATGCCATGATTTTCATCGCCGAGCATGGCGAGCAGCACATTTTCCTCATGAGCCATGTAAGCATTCCTCTCGCGCTACTTTGCATGCACGCCAGCGACTCGCCAGTGAAGTTCAGCCGCTGGCGGCGCAGCTGCTGGCACACGTGAGAGGGTGCATACACCACGTCCGATTTCTGTTTGATGCAAATTATACCGGGCACATACACACAAACTATGTATCGTGCCAGCAGGCACAGCTCGTCAGAGGGCTGCTCTACCGACATGTAATACCGGCGCCGCCCCGCCGCCGACGCCACAACAGCAGCAGCGGCGTCTGAAACGGCGGCGGCCATCACCACCACCACCACCACCGCCGGCACCGCCGCCACGACCGCCGCCAAAGCTGCCACCCCCACCGCCACAGCAGCAGCCCATTCGGCACTTCCGGCTGCCGGAAATTAACGTTCAAGCGAACAACTATATGGAACTGGTTAACGTGCAGCGAGCGGTTGACGAGGGCCGAGACATTGACACATGAGCGAGGATGAGTTGCGCGACTTTCTACAGACTCCCCTTAAAACGGGGGTCCCCTGCCATACCCATGCCATACCCCCCTGCCATCCACCGAAAGGGCTGTAAAGCTGACCACCGAATCAGTCACAGCTGTAACAGGCGCAGACCGACAGGACGGCTACGCTCTGAACAAACGGGCCTACCGAAACAAAATGAAAAAAGTAGCATTAGCTTCATCCATGTGTCGTACACAAGGTATGTTAGTCACTTTGATCTCTTGTCACCCGACTACATAGTGTGAATAAACTTCATATCAACAGTGAACGCAGTGTCATGTGTTACTCAGATCAATCCACCTACGCTCCTCGCTATTGTAAATGGCTCCCGAGCGCACTCCACTATTTCGCCAATGCACGATAGTCATTTATCCAATTCAACATTAGGTCTAAAATGTGTCTGAAGTAACATAAAAATGAAGTGAGCACTTCTGTCGTGCTTTGATAGACGTAGCATAACGACCACGACGGTCGCAAGTGACCGCCGGGGCTGTGAACGGCACGGCAACGACCGGCCGGCGGGCGGCTACGCCAGCGCCATCTATGGAGAGAATCGGGTAACTAACGCAAACCTTCCGAGCCTTATGCTTTCCTGCGAGGCCGGTGAAGCAGGCGGCGTGCCGATTTCGACGCCGCTGTATGCCGAATCGACTGGTACATGCATTTAGCGATACATTGTTAAAATTTTTTCATTACATTCATCATATTATTCAAAAACATGCAAAAATTGAGAAAACCGGAAATATTCAAAGAGCCGGGGCGGTCAAAAAAAATTCGAATTTTATATTTTTTCCGCCGGATTCGTGATCAGCACCCCCAAATACGTTAGATTGGACCTGGGGAGCAAAACTTTTCGAAACTTTTTGCAAAACCGGTCACCCTAATGTAGTAGGTAGGTAGGTAGGTATCTCCTATTCACTGAAATAATTAAAAGTGATGACTTCTTGTACTGTCACTGTTGCTAATACTAATAGTGAACTCCAGCACTCATGCATATTGAAAAAAAAACATTGCACAAATCAAGAACATTGATAGAGAAAAATCAAGAGCACACATGAACAAGTTCTTTATGAGGTCATATGCACCAAATGATTGACATATTTAGCTATGACATAGTCTGAGTTTTAATCTGGTATGATAAAGAGAGATTATGGTTTCAATTAGGTTAATCTGCCTGACAAAAAAGAAAACATTGAATAGGTAGTGGATTACATGAATATGTCCCTGAAGGTTTGAATAAAACTCAAAATCCTAAAATATTTAGAACAACACTTCAAACAAAGCAGAAAACACAATCAGCCCAAATAGACGTTCTTCTGAAATTAATAAATATAACTCAGGTCATATTCTAAAAAATATCACACGTCAACATCAATGGAAAACGATTAAGACTTTACATCACAAATATGGTAGGGACTACGAGACTTATAGCACTGAAACAGCAGCACGGAACCAGTAGAAGGTACCAAGGTGTATTGTGTGCGCATGCCTAAATTTATGGTGGTAGCTTGCATGCACATTTGAAGCCACTCAGAAGGTTCATCAGAGTTGCTGCCACCTCACAACTCACCGTCAGTTCTGTGGACAAGGGAAGTGCTTTTGGATTCAGATTGTGAATTGTGGTGAAATGCCAGAAACCACATCTAAGAAGTCACAACAAAGCTATATCAAGTTGCCTTAAATGCACAATGCATCCTGCAATTTAAACAAAAAAATCGATTATATCATCACAGTTGGCCTACCTTTTTCGCGATTCAGCCCACATATTTTTGTAAAAAATATTCCTTTTCTCGAGTAGAAAGATATATGTGCTCACTAACCTTACAATCAGGAACATCCTTTCACAACAACCAATGAATACCAGAGCTTCCTGCTAGCGAAAGACTTAATTGGTTGAACGTCATCATCAGCACGACTCGCAAAACATTTAGAACAGTTTTTGCTATCACATGTTCAAGGTCACTACTTTATCGACAAAAGTGGCGATCTATTTGCAGTGGCGCGAAGCAGTTTTTGGGCGCGGCGGCGGGTGAAGCGAGAGTGGATTTCGTGGGCGCTGGTTGAAATTACGGTGTTTTGACTTTTACACGAAGATCTAAGTGAACATTTTGCAAGGACTGTTTACACTTGTGCTGCCCTAAATTTCTAGTTGCAGCCATGGCGGATGTGGCTGGTCAGAGTCAAAATGAAAATGAGGCTGGAAATGTTCCAGAAGTGGAACTTATCATAAAGGTAACTTGTTTGTTTAAAGGGACCCTCCCACCTTCAAAAAAGATTATGAATTGGCATGAAAGTGATGTCGCTCGGTTCAGAAAGAGCGAAAACGAATATCTACAAAATTTCACCGAAAAATATTCACGGGTTTTCAGGATATTAGACTTTTACTTTTGTTTACTTTTTTGGGATCTCCGCTGTTTCTAGCGACTTTATTTTAGAAGTGTGGCGTTTGCAGCAGATTTTGCGCGCAAATAGCATATACCACCGCGTGCTACAAAACGTTTTAGTCAAACATTTAAAAATCGTTAGATATCTGCGCTGACGTCACACATTCAGAGGGGTATTCCTAAGCATTAGCCCCTCTGAATCAAAACGCTGCAATTTTGAAATTCAATATTTCCGATTTAAGGCATTTCTCGATGTTGTGAGTGCCGAACCCGGTAATTGTGAGCCAGGGACCCCATTTTGGCTATCTCAACTCAAATCTAATGTTAAGGTGGGAGGGTCCCTTTAAAGGAAAAGGGCCACCTTTAACATGGGGATTGAAACTGAGATAGCCATCTTGTAGCCCGTGTCCGAAAACCTATCTGTCTACCTCCTTACGGCCGATTTCGGCCTCCATTCATAGTTATCGGCAATTTTAAAAGAAAATACGCCAGGAATGCGTCCTTATCCCAGGAATGCGTTCTTATCCGACAATACAGCCACCCGCGGCGAGGCTTTGGTTTTTTACCAATCAGCTCCAACCAGCTCAGCTTTAACCAATCAGCTTATCTGACACAATCCGACGAGTCTGTCTTCTGAACGCTGATTGGCTTGAGTGTGACGTCATCGCTATGCCATCATACAGTAGGTGCCGTAGAGAGTATCAACATAGTACCAATATGATAAATAGTTTTAAATACTATTTCGCGAATTGTGCACTTCTGGCACCAGTTTTAAAAAGAAAATGAAAAATAATAATGTCAAAATGAAAAACAACGATATCTTCATATTTCACGAAGGTGGCCCTTTTCCTTTAAAGGCCATTTTATGTAATGGTATCACATCATTGACATTTTCTGAGCTTATACTGATTTCAGCAAAGTACCTAATCAATAGATTGGATGAACCCAGTCAGCAATTAGGTTTGGCTCAAGTTCGTTTTGGCCCTGAGTCTTTATCGCAGCCCTCTATAGTTGGTATGGTTTTGGACTGCCAAGTCCTGCTCAAGTCCGACTCAAGTCTGGCTCCCTGCCATAGCACGCTACAGCCAGGGACCTGTTCAAGTTTCTGCAGCCGCCATGGCTCCCAAAGTACAAAATGCGGGGCTTAGCTGGCTGGCCATTCAGGCGACTCAGAAATGACAGTTCTTGCCATCCTCATGATAGCTAGATGATAGATGATAGCTAAGACCTGCTTTTTTACTGGAAGCTGTGGTGGCTGTGGACATGCTTAAACAGGGCCCAGGTCTGGCTGAATCTACCATGATTCACACTACAATGAATTAGTGGACCTTGGAAAACTATTATTGCCTTAACTTGCTAACACCAATTAGATGCAGAAAAGATCCTAGTTGTTATTAGTTATATATCTATCTGGTGCAGGCATGGAAGACAGGACTGATAAATCGAAAAATATTTTTGGCAATCCAAAGCATGTACCAGTTAATGGCTATCTTTCAAGGCAGCTAAATAAACCGCTCTGCATAGTTTATGTGAACCCAGACTATAGAAAGCCTCTCAGGACCATTCCACTTCATTTCTGAAATTCTGCAGATAACCAAAGCCTCAATGGCTTGGGCTCACAATTATGATTATCTTAATTTCAGGTAAAACTATTATTGAGGACAATCAGTAAGTGGTGACTATGGTATTTCATTTTATTTGAAAATATTGTTGATTTTCAATTATTCTGTCACATATTTTTCCCATGATATCTTTAAGGATTGATAAATGCTTCAGCAATCTTGCATTGTGCATGGCATAGCTATCATTTTAATAAGTATTTATCAAGTACCAACTACCAACATTTTTATGTTTCCTTATTCTGCTTTTTCTCAAGACACATGCATGTTAATGTTGAACTCATTGCACAATGCATGGGCATGATATGATTATAAGGCATTTTCTGCAGGTGTCCATTGTTAGGTAGGTATAATTGCCAGGGTCAAAAGCTCAAAGTCTGTTGTATGGTGCTGGGTTCTGGCTACAGACATCACATGAATCTCCCATATCACAGCAGCTTGTCAGTCATAATGGCGCTTCTATAGACTGAGTAGCAAATATAGCTTGGGGTTGTGCGAGTGTGGCTCGAGTTGGAGTTGTCAGTACCCCTCCTATTCTAACCCCCTCTCACCCCTGCTCAAGAGGCCACTGAAAGTTGTTCAACTCTGCCGATGCGATGCTACTGATACCCACCCAGTGGATGAGTCTCGATGAGTCTGCCTGTCGGAGACCCTGCGGGACGCACCTGTCACGCTCCGAGCGTCTCACGGAGGCTACACGTGCCTCACAAGCCGCACCGGAGCTCACGGGTCTCACGGAGGCCAAATGAATCTCACGTGTCTTGAGGCCCACACGTATATCACGGACCGCTCCGGAGCTCAAGGAGAGCTTACGTGTCTGACAGGGACCGAACGTGCTTACGAACCACACTTGTTTCACGGACCACACGTATATCACGAACCGCACAACAGCTCACGCATCGCACAGTGACCACACGTGTCTCGCTAGCCGCACGTGTGATCTATCGAACGGCCGCCGGTAGACGCCGCGAACACAGCCCACACTGAGTACACGTCGGAGTCCCGACTACCGGCCCCACGCTGCCACCAACGTACGGCGCGGTTATCTGGCCGCCAGTCATCAGTCAACACGGGCGGCGTCCGGCTGCCGCCACGCCGCGGGCCGGGGGAGGGGGTCATCAGCCGCCGGCAATGGCCAGTCGTTAGTCTTTAGACGTCGCTATGCCGTCTGGAGGCTCTTTGGGATGCTGTGTCACCGGCGAAAACTGTAGAATCCACCCCGTGGCCCGCCGCGTCACAAATTTGGTGTGATTTATATTCACACTGCTGATTGCTCGCTTCGCAAATGGAAATCGGAGGGTTAAAAAAAAAAACTAACCAATGCGGCTATATGTTTTTACGTATCTATTTATATAATGGCAATCGGAATTCCAATTGATACTGTGGACTTAAATCCATTGGAATGCCAGTTTGTTTAGGAAACTGGTAAACTATGCACTTTTTGTAGGAATGGTCGGACACTCTCTGGCCTCTTGAGGTCCTAAATCGCCCAACTGCCACTGTTGTTTGTGTGGCCACCCGCCAACGAGTGATACCTATTCCGCATTTTATATCCATTTAGTCAATAACTGTTATGTGTTACGGCAGACATCACCAAGCTTACGACCTCCCCCCCCCCCCCATCTGTACACTCGCAGTCGCTTCTTCCATTCTGCTCTTGTCCCTTCCTCTCCTGATCACTCCCTTATTCGCTCGCTTTGTCCCTTTCAAAGGCAGAACGGGGATCAAAGTCGCCGGCTGACAAAAGGGTGCCTTACCGTGAACCAAGGCCGTCTCGTAAACTCCATCGAGTCTCCGGCGCGAAGCTATAACGCCCATTTAGCTCCAACACCGGAGCTCTTTGAACTATCCTATATGTCTCAATATGTCTCAAGTTTGCGACTGTAAAGCCAAGTTTTGTATTATTTGGCTTACAGCTGCATATTTTTGGACTTTTTATGAAATAAACTTGGTTATTTTTCGTTGTTTCTAGCATATGAACGACACTGCATGCTGGATATTTGCATCATGTTTGTGTAATTGTATTGTACACGTGTTGAACGTCTTTCATTGATCATCTGTAAGTTCTGTACATCAATTATAGACCAGTAAGTTTAAGTTCGGTCGTGTGTAAAGTGCTAGAAAGAATCATAAAACGTCAAATAGTTGCTCATTTTGAGGAACACGAGATTTTACTTCCATCTCAACATGGTTTTTGTAGTGGACGCTCCTGTTTGACAAACTTATTAGATTTCCTTGAATATTCGACAGACCTTTTGGACAGGAGTAACAGTGTATCAGTAGTTTATTTGGACTTCAGCAAGGCATTCGATAAAGTTCCACACAAAAGACTCTTGATCACATTAGAGCGTCATGGTTTAGACTAGTGGTGCCAATTTCATGAAATTTCAATTCCAATTCCGATCCAATTCCAAGAAATTGCCAAGTAAATTTCCAATTTTGTCCAAAGCGGGGGCTATTCCAATTTTTAACGATTTTTGCATTTTTTGTGTAAATTTTAAAAGTGTTTAAAAGCGTTTTAAAGGCCTCCGTTTTAAAATTTTAAATTTTAAAGGCCTTGTGTTCCGATTAATTTCCAAAAAATGTTAAGAATTCCGTCCAAATTCCAAATTGGAATTGGACAAAAATTGGAATTCCAAGAAAAGAAATTCCGATTGGCACCAATAGTTTAGACGGTCCTCTTCTCAAATGGATAGGGGCCTGGCTAGTAGGTCGCAGGCAGCGAGTCATTTTAAATGGCCATCAAGCTGACTGGAAAGCTGTCAAAAGTGGTGTGCCTCAGGGAACTGTTTTAGCACCATTGCTTTTCGTTATTTTTGTACATCTTATAGACTCTGACTTAACAAGTAACATATGGAAATTCGCTGATGATATCAAGATAGCTAAAAATATTACTTCAGATGACGATAGAAGAGCACTACAGGCAGACTTAGATGCTCTTTTACAATGGAGCAAGGAATGGCAGATGGAATTTAATGCTGATAAATGCAAAGTTCTTCATCTGGGAGTAAAAAGTAACGATACATATTATTTGAATGGAACTAAGTTGGCAATTGTGAGGGAAGAAAAGGACTTGGGTGTTTTGGTGACAAATGATCTGAAGTTCAGTGGCCATTATGTGCAAGCTCGAAAAAAGGCTTTAAAAATGTTGGGGGTTATAAATAAAAATGTATCATATAAAAGTAAAGAAGTGATGAAAAGACTCTATTGTTCATTAGTTCGGCCTCATCTTGAATACTGTGCACAAGCATGCCACTCGTCTCTAAAAAAAAGATATAAAACTTTTGGAGCGTGTGCAGAGGAGGGCAACAAAGATGGTTCGTGGGCTGGGTGAAATGAGCTACAGAGAACGCCTGGCTTCCTTAAATATGTTTTCACTTCATTACCGCAGGATAAGAGGGGATTTGATTGAACTTTTTAAAATATACAAAGGGATTGATAAGTTAGATTTTGGGAAGATGTTTACACTCAATACAAATTCCACGAGAGGAAATGGGTGCAAACTAGTAAAGAAATTTTCCAGAACCAAGTTAAGACAGTCCTTTTTTACCAGTAGGGTCATAGAAGCTTGGAACGGTTTACCTCCTAGAGTTATCAATAGTTCCATCTTAAAGGAAATAGTTCACTTTTAACATGGGGTTTTGAACTGGAATAGCAGTTTCGTAGCTTGAGCTGAGACTAGCACAAATCAGGAGCTTTTACGGCTCAATGATCACCCTAGACGAAGATATTCCATTTCTCGTTCCGAAAAGAGTGCCTTGCAGAGGAATGTGTGCCTTGCACAGGAATGCAGCCACGTCATCGTCAGCCAATCAGCATGCTGCTTACAGCCAATGCAGTGTGCGTAGGTTTGAACTACGCGATATGATTGGTCAACGCGTAATAAGCTTCCGCGTCAAACATTATTTTACGTAGAATATAGTTCGTCCTATATTAAAATATAGAAAAAAAATGTTTTTACAAAAAGGTTTTATTTTATTTCATGATCATTTTGAGCATAAAAAATCATAAATCAATAGCAAAATACTTATTTCAGGAAAGTGAACTGTTTCCTTTAAGTAATTTTAAAAAGGAGTTAGACTTGTATTATAAACAGCGTGGGCTAGTGTTCGATGAAATGGTGTAATTGTACCGTGTTTTACATACAGTGTTTGTTCATATACCTGTAACCTCGTTGGGCCCAAGTGGCCTGCTGTTACATGGAATACATGTTATCTGCCGTCGGGAGGAAAAAAGCCGTAAGTCGCATTTTTATCGATTTTTCGTTTTTGATATCGTTGGAAAGCTCTTTTCATGATGCGTTTAATGGTACTGCTCAAACGTGTGTACACTTAAAAATGAAAATATTATATATAATATAAAAATTCAAAAACGGATTTGTTACATCAGGGATAGCAGAACACGCAGGAAGAAAGCCGTATCCTTAAATTCGGCAGATACGGCATTTATACAAAATTTCCAACAAAGAATGTGGAACTGATAAGTCAGGAAGAAAGCCGTATCTTGTAGATACGGCTTTTATTTGATGGTGGCCTGTGAAATATGAGCCGAATCGTTGGTCCAGGCAGTTTGGAAGAAAGCCGTATCTACTCATTTAGCATGGCTTCGGCATAACCTGGACGGAACAGTTGAACATTTACACAAACATGCTACGTGATCGTAGCAATATGTGACCATTTATAGGGGAATTTTAATTGAAATAAAATAGGGAGTGAACTTGAGAAGTTTGAGGCCAACAGAACGTCTTTGCCAGCTCGGTGGTGTCAGCAGGGTGCCGGGCATTCAGTGTTTTTATGTGCTAACCAGCCGGGAGCGCCATTATAATCCGACCGTTCTTTTCCCCAGCTTGGTTTAAAATTCCAATAAAAAATACCCGACCTGGCCTCCCCCATGATAAAGTTGGCCTCCCTGTCCCCACCCCACCCCACAACCAAAATAGCATCATGTTAAAGGTAGACTGCCACCTTTTTTCCACAAAACGGTTTTCACTAGAGCTGAGCCACCTATGTCCCAGACTGAAGTCGGTTTTCCGAAATTCGAACCCGTTTGCGAGAAATCGGAGACCAAAGTTCAGTTTGATGCCATTTTTTTAGTCCAAGAAAACCGACATCTCTACTGTTTATCGATAACTTTGAAACACGAATTTTCTTATCTTTTGGTAAATATATGTCAAAACTTTGATTGTTTCGAGATCAGAGAAGAATTTTGGAGTGTCAAAATAAAAGTTAAACCTATATATTCAGTAGTTCATTTTTTCCAAAAAAGTGTGGGAAATGGGGTTTAACATGGGCGGCAGACCCATTCCAAATGAGCCATGATTTTTAAATGTTTTACGAACTTAAATGCAAAATAAATTAAACATGGCCAATTTCTTATGAAATCATATAGTAGTAAATCATAAAATACCTCACTTTTTCAAATAAAATGTAATAATCTTATGACCTTGAAGTCTAGTGATGTGTAAACATTGTCGCTAGACATTAACCGATTGATAATTGTATGATAATCGACATTTTTTTTCGCGATTCACGTGATGATACTTTGTCAGGTGAATTCTAAAATTTTGTTTTGTCCAGGGAATAAATCATAGGCCGATCTGAGAAAACTTTTTGAAGGTGGCAGTCTTCCTTTAAGTTCCACCCGGTAATCATCATAGACATGCAGCTCGTAGCCGGCACGCGTAGTACGACGACCTACAATCTTTGTCGTAAAACCGTTGAAGATATAGTTGGAATACCGTGAAAGGTCGATTGCTATTGCCCATCTCGTCACATTCATTGTGATAATTGTGACCACGCCCATGTATCTTTGGGACGTCATCCCCTGTCACTTCCATTCCTGGTCAATGACTTTACCGTCTTCTTTCCGGCTCCCTCATACCCATGATGCTCAATCATATTAGAAATTTAGGCTACCTACCTTGTAGCACCCACACAAGCCCAACATTGTCATATTCTACGGGCAGCTGCCCAGAGCCTACCAGCACAGCTGTGACCGGTGGAGGATGCAGCAAGACGTACTGAATAGCCCTCTGCTCTGTTGCAGTAGGCGCTATAATCAGAGCAATGTGAATACGAGTGCACATTGAGGGTGCGCCCTCTAAAGGGCGTTCCCGCAGACGTGTGGAGCTCTCAGCAGTCTAGCGATCTCCGACAATGAGGCGGCATTTTGCTTACACCCTCAGCCGCGGCACAGTGCTGTCGCCCTAGAGGTTTCGCACAGGCTTTGTAGATGCAGTTTCTTTACGGGAATTCCTGAAGTTCTTACACCATCCTCTATTTTGGTTCAGGAGCCGGGCGGTTCTGTGCTTGTAGCTGCGCACCACGTGACTTAACAGCGTCCCTTTTCCGGGAACCTTGTGTCCAGCTAATCAGCAACATTCCCACTCATCGTCTCTTGCCCCCTTGAAGTGCTTTGAGGTCTGCAGATCGACGATGGGAAACTACACTATCTCGGTTCTCTCGACATTGTCGCCGTGGCTCCGGCGCAGCGGCAGACCGGCACACTCATCTCTCCGAATATATCGGTGGCTCAGAGTTAACTCTGGAGTCCAGTGTAATCGAAAATTGAAGCACCGTACAAAGACAGCATTCGTGATTCCCCTTGTCGGTTGCAGGCACGTAGCCAGGATTTTACTCAGGGAGGGGCCACAGGTCGCGGCCTAGTGTCGTGCCCCTCCAGAAAAGGAAAACTCCTCGGATTTGGCCCACTATCTCTTGGGGTGTGGTGCAGCTGTGGTTATTTTTTTTTTATTAAGTTTTATTTTATTTTTCGCCTTTAGAGGGGGGCATGGCATGGCCCCTGTGCCCCCCCTTGGCTACGTCCCTGGTCGGTTGGTCAAGCTGTTTTTTGATGGCACCCTGCGCAATCAGAATCCAAGAGCCTAAAGTTACGACAATAATGCGATTATGCATGGACGATGTAGTTTAAAATGGGTATCATGTTTGTTTTTGTATCGAGCGTTCTATTAAATATCCATACTTGAGAGCTGAAGCAGTGGCACAGAACCAGCAGCGGAACTGATTTAGTACTTTTATGAACCAATATGCTGTCAATACAAATACACCGATGATACTGCTTTTTGACGACAATATGATTAAACAAAAATGGCGATGCGGCTTTATTCCCGATCGGTCAACCAATGTATCAGACATACGGCTTTTTTCATGACAGTATTGCTCAGGTGTCTCGTACGATGCGGCTTTCTTCCACGATACGGCTTTTTTCGTGAAATAAAGATTCCGCAAACTCGGGGTTGAATTGGAAGCAAAAAAGTTTTTCGCCTTTTGCTTTAAGGTTAACATAATTTCCCTTTTATAACCACTTTCATTGGATGTAAAATTTCTTTCCGATCACTGCAGTATGTTTTGTTTCGTTATTGAGCAAAGTTAACGAATTTTATAATAAAAAACGCGTTTTTGCCTCTCCTGAACAATTTTCAATTCGAAAAAGTGCCCCAGATACGGCTTTTTTCCTCCCGACGGCAGTTATGTTATGTTATGTTATCTGGTTCGTTTTGCGTGCTCTTGTGTTGTGTGACATCAATCGCTTATGATGCTACTGGATTCCTTCCATTGCAGATATTCTAGCTGGCTTAATATTTTTGCCATTTTGGATTAATATCCTTGTTGGAAAAATGCACTTGTGTGAGCTATCATGTACTTAGTGTGAATAACACTTTGGCTTTCCTGAAGGCCATATAGTCGACAGCTGCTGCGTTCCGTGTATCTACAAAATACATTTCATTTTCTACGTTACATTTCGTTACCAATTTTCTCACTTATCTGTCCAGTCGTTACCAGGCACTCGTTACTAACGGTGACAATCGTGTCCCACAGGCGTCTACCATCGACGGCCGAAGGAAGGGCGCCTGTCTGTTCTGCCAGGAGTACTTCATGGACCTCTACCTGCTCGCCGAACTGAAGACCATCTCGCTGAAAGTCACCACCGTCGACATGCTCAAACCGCCACCTGACTTCAGGTCAGCCAAGCTGAAGTTTTGTTGTCGGTCGCTAGATGGTACTAGTAGTAGCGGTTATCGCCGGCGAACCGGTCTCAGCGTGCTGTGGTCTTTTTATGAGGTCTTTTATGGAGACGGCTGTGGTTTCCATTTCCTGCAAAAGCCCGTGCCATCAATGCTGGATTTCCCAGATGACTGACCTTTAGTAACGTGCCTTTGATTGTAGAGCACTGAGTACGAGATTATTACATTTCCCTACTGGGTGAGGGAGTTGCCACTTCTCAGATCATCAGTCATGGCAATGCTGCGTTGGCGTACCCATTTTATTCCTTTATTGTCAATTAGTAGACGGTTGTTGGGTTGTTGATCTTTATTTCGCAGTTGCAGCAATGGCATGAGGGGAAGTCAAATAATGTCAGTCTCTAACCATCACGCCTGCCAACGCAAACGAACGACCCTGTACCAAAACATTGTTCCGGCTCGACTGGAATCATCAAAAGATAATGCACTGAAGATTTTACAAGAAAGTCATATTTTGCTTCTTAAGAAATGAATCATGCGTCTTGCTGAATTCCGTTATTTTGTCCGAAGTTGTCAGATGCTATATTTACCATGAATTCCATGCAACACCATTAGCCAGTCTTCGGCGTGCAGGTTGACTCAAAAGTCTGTTTTGCCATTCGGCCTCATCATCATCATCATCATTTATTTCGTTTGGAACTCCGTATTCACGGCTATTCTGTCCAAGTGTCAATACATAAATACATATACGCTGAATGGTAAAGATGTTAAAGGAAAAAAAGTACAGCACGTATGACGTGGTATCACACATTATAAGAGCCTAAAGCGCCCTCCTAAAGCGCCTGCGACAATCTCGGCCAATCTCATGCAATTATTGCATGCAACTAAAACTAGGTACCTGCCCAATGGACATCGTTTGGCTGTCAGGATTTGATTAAACCGTTGTTATTCGGGGCCTGGTCTGTGCAATCTGCGCACAATGGACATTGGGCACACACTTAGTGATTTGTTTTGGTTTCAGTTGAAGCCATACATACCCTGCCACCAGAGAACTGTTATGAACAGACACCGGTTATATCGGTTATCCTGACACTTACGGTTTAACGAGTGGGCCTAGCCCATAAAGAGCAGGCCAAACTCCACCATAGACCAGTGACTATAATATACCAGATATTTAGTGGTTGTTGTGTATTTGCGGTGTTCTGCTAGCAATTATAAAATGACCTCAACATGGAGGTGCCGAGCAGTGCAATGTCTCCCGCAAATATTGTGATTGTTTTTGGATAAAATCTGGGTTCGAGGGGGGACTTGGGAGTGACATGAAAAATGGAATACAGGAAGTGATATATTGTGATTTTGAATATTGAATAGACTGAAGAAAGGAATAATATCTGGAACATTTGGTGACCGTGACAGGACACGATGGAGGAGTATATACAATTGGCAGAAAGGTGTGGATTGAGTGGATCAGAAGCCTTGGCGTATGCCACTGAACAGAAGGAGAAGGCGGACGAAAGAGCGGAGAGAATCGCAGCCAGAGAAGAGAGAGAAAAAGAGAGACAAGAGAGAGAAAAAGAGAGACAATTTGAAGTTACGGCCAGAGAAGAGAGAGAAAAAGAGAGACAGCATGAGCTAGAGCTGGAGCGCATCCGAGCGGAGAGAGCGAGTTCAACAGAACAACAGGCGGCGTCGGCCAAGAAGCCCAAGTTACCTGCGTTCGTGGATGGCAAGGACGATTTGGACGCCTACCTGGCGCGGTTCGAGAGGACAGCAGCTCGGTGCGGGTGGGCCAGAGAGGAATGGGCCACTAACTTGAGTGCTCTTCTGACCGGGAGGGCTCTCAACGTGTATTCTCGGCTAAGCGAGCGTGATGCAAATGACTACCAGCAAGTAAAGGAAGGCCTGCTACAGCGCTACGGTTTGACGGCGGAGGGCTACCGCCGTAAGCTCCGAGAGAGCGGACCCGAGCCGGATGAGAGCCCACCTCAATATCTGGAACGGCTGACGGGCTACCTGCGCCGTTGGGTGAGCTTGGCTGGCGAGGATTTAGAAGACCTAGTTGTGTATGAACAGTTTATGGAAGCATGTCCGAAACAACTGCAGACGCATCTACGCGAGCGCGTTGACTATGACCTGAAAGATTTGGGTGAACAGGCTTCAAAATTCTTAGAAGCTCACGGCCGCTCGCTTTACAACTGGCCCAGACGCGCCAACGCCAGTGGTGATTCATCCTCCTCGCCCTCTCCACAGGCTTACGGTTCAGCAACTGCGCTACCGACGGCGGTCCAAGATGGTTGCGTCTTTTGTGGGTACCCTCATCCATCGGAAGAGTGTAGGAAGACGCGGGACCTCACGCCGGCTGAGCGACGAGAGCGCTTGATGCGCCGAGCGGGGTGCTTCTGGTGCCTGAAGCCGGCCTCTCACTGAGCAGTTGACTGCCGCCAGGGCCTGGCGCGCTGCTCGATCTGTAATGGCAAGCACAATCCCCTGCTATGCGACCGGTCGTCTGTGCCAGCAGCAGCGAGGGGCAGCCAGTCGAGCAGCGGCACGTCACCCGCTCAATCAGCCACGGTGACGGCGGCCAGTCGCACAGCCACCGAACCTGACCGTGTCGTGCTCATGCAGACGGCCAAAGTGGAGGCATCTGGACTGAAGAGCACGTGCCGCGTGCGAGTCATGTGTGACTCAGGCAGCAACGCCACCTTCATCAGATCTGACACAGCACACATGCTGGGCTGTCGGATTCAGACAAGACAACCGCTCCAGGTGAGCACATTCGGAGGAGGAAAGGCGTCGCATCAGCTGAGTGAGAAGGTGGAAGTGGGACTGACCACACAGGATGGGTCACTGCTACGTGTCGAGGCCTACAAGATTCCCAATATATGTGGCCCTCCGCCTGTCATCGGCATAGAAGAAATACAGCTTCATGAACACCTGAGAGGTCTGAAGCTGGCGGAGGAACCAGGTGCTGCGCTGGCCAGTGGTGGTGAAATTGAGATTCTCCTCGGCCAGGACGTCCTGCAGGACGTTTTTGACGGTGACATGCGCGTCGGTCAGTCCGGGCCAATGGCGATCAGCTCGCGGTTTGGCTGGATCGTATGCGGGCGGTCAGGCTGCGCCACTCCAGCCCCACAAGAGATGATGGCCAACTTCGTGCACACGGAGACGGAGTCGGTGAAGGCGACGCTGGATGACTTGTGGACGCTGGAAGGCATCGGGATCAGCAGTGATGGTGTAGGAGATGGCAGCGTGAAGAAAACGCAGGAAGCCGCTGCCCTGCAGCAGTTCAATGAAACCTGCACTCGCCTTCCTGACGGGCGCTATCAGAACCGTTGGCCATGGAAACATGACACCGGGGACCTCCCCTCAAACGAAGCCATGGCGCTCTCTCGCCTGGAGGCGTGCGAGCGGAGCCTGAGGAAGACTGGAAAACTGAGGCAATATGACAATGCAATCCAAGACTACATCGATCAAGGTCACGCTGAAGAGGCACCCCAGATCCCCACTGGGAAGGTGCATCTACTCCCGCACCATGCAGTCTTCAAGGGAGACAAGATCAGGATTGTCTTTGACGCTGCCGCTGGCCATCCCAACTCGCTGAACGATCACGTCCTCTCTGGTCTAAACATGATTGCTGACCTTACCGGAGTGCTGCTCCGATTTCGAACGAGAAGGATCGGAGTCACCGCTGATATTGAGAAGGCATTCCTTCAGCTGGCTCTACATCCTGATGACCGGGATGTCACGAGGTTCCTGTGGAGGAAGGATGCCTCCGATCTCCGCCCCACCACCTACCGCATGACGCGTGTGGTGTTCGGAGTGACCGCTTCGCCATTCCTGCTTCAGGCAAGCGTACGTCAACATCTGCAGCAGTATGAGGAGGCAGACGGACAGCTGGTCGCTCGCCTGCGGCGCGACCTATACTGTAATGATTTAATCACCAGCATGAATACACAGGAAGAGGCTGAAGAGCTGTCACAGCGGACCCAAGAGATCTTCAATGATGCCAAGATGAATATGAGACACTGGACCTACAGCTTTGAGACGGACAAGGAGGCACACAAGCCTCTTGGCGAGGAGGCAACAGCTGAGCGTAAAGTGCTGGGCATCTGCTGGATCCCAGGGGACGATCAGCTGGTGTTCAAAACTGCCTTTCTGACGCAGCTCGGTCGAGAAGCACCGGAAACGAAGCGGAACATTCTAAGCGTCTCAGCGCGCTTTTACGACCCGCTTGGCCTTCTTGTTCCCTTTCTGGTTCGAGCGAAGCTTCTGCTGAAGAGATTATGGATCGCTGGCCATTCCTGGGATCAGACGGTAGCCAGTGACGTGCGCAAGGACTGGAGAAAGTGGCTTCTGGAGCTGGAGCAGATCGACGGTTTCAGCATCCCACGTCCCTACGCGACCGGCGGGGACTGCGGCTATCAGCTACACATGTTCTGCGACGCCAGTATGGAGGCCATGGCAGCAGCTGTGTACGTCAAACCGGAAGACAACTCACGCGCGCCCACTCTGGTGATGGCTAAGGCCCGTCTCGCCCCACGCCAAGCCATGTCAGTGCCTCGTCTCGAGCTGACAGCGGCCGTGATCGGTGCCCGGTTAGTCACCTACGTGCAAAGTCAACTAGACATCACCACCGAAATCAGCGGCTGCTGGACTGACTCGATGGTAGCGCTTCACTGGATTAGAAGCAATTCCCAGCGGTGGGGAGTATACGTGCGAAACAGAATCAACGAGATCCAGAGCCTCTGCCCGCCGACCTTGTGGAAGCATGTCCCGGGCAATCAGAATCCTGCTGATCTGCCATCCAAAGGAGTACCGGCGGCGCAGCTGAGGAGCAGCCTCTGGCTGCATGGCCCAGAGTGGCTGGAAGGCGACAATTCAGTCTGGCCTCCGCAGACTCCGACAAGCAACGAGCCAGCCGAATGTACAGTGGAAGCAAAGAAGATGGCGCTCACAACGGTAGGAACTCGCGCCAGATCCACTGGGATCGGACAAGTGAT